TTTAATCAAGTGTCATTTGATTAAATATTTAAAATGTGCAATTACTACAGTCAATAACTACCTTAGAAAAAATATATAAGCATGAGACACAATTAGAATTAAATTAAAAGTCAAATTATTTTTTATATTGAAGACCGGAAGTAGTACATGGGAGACCAATAAGATAGGAGCAGCACGTACGTACGTTGGCAAAAGAGGATTCAGATTCAGCCGCGTTATCGTCATCAGCCTCATGAGCTTTGCATATAAAGCTGAATCAATTTCGCAAGTCCCTGAAGATATTAACCTGATCGATCCGTTGCATTAACCTGTTACCTACGTTAGCCAATTTGATCTTTAGGTGCTTGAGGAAAGTGATGGAATCAAACTAGCTAGCCAGCTATATGAGTCAGCATAATGCGGGAATCAAGACCTAAACCAATATACAACGTTGGCATGCTTCAAGTTGATGTTATTAGGTAAACAAATTGCCTTCCCCTAATGCCATTTTTGATGTTATTCGTTGGGTGTCACGTTACTGGTGACCTAATGACTTTTGCATTTATATTTTAATTTCTTCATCATACATGCTACCAACTTGCATCCCAAATTACGACACTTTTCGAACTCGGAATCATATTTGCGCCAGCCAAATTCCACTTAACAATTAGTTTTGATTTTGAATTTGCCAATTAATTAGTTAAATCAACTCAAATTGAAGGTGCAACTGAGAAGGAGAATTAAGTCAACTGATCACTAGCTTAGGCCATGCATATTTTCATTGTGTGTGTGTGTCCAATATACTTAAATAGTTAGATTTTTGTTTTCGGTAATGATGACGTCCACACATCCACATTCCATTATCTGATAAAAATTGCCTAAGACTAGCTGTAGAGTATTAGTGCCTTAGTTGTCATCAAACACTTACATCCATTAAGCTGCATGGTTTGACATTTCTCAATGTCCTGTTTGTCCGTCAGATGCAGATTTCCACAATGACATAATAATAAGTTGCCCAACTAACTAGCTCTCGTCTCTAGTCAATAATTAATCAAATTAATTCAAAATCATTTGTATTTACATTTTGCTAACAACTGGGACCATGAAATAAATAAGTCAAACTGACCCAAAATATAATGTTCAATATAAAACATTAACTTAAAAAACGAACCTGATATGTCTCTGCTAAGTAACATACATGACATGATCAATTAAGCAAGTATATAAAAACCTCTCTTAAATCCTCTCATTTCCGTGCACCCAATTTTAATATTAATTTGTTGACAGTATTTAATGAGAAATGCAAAGAAGCAGTGAAGGTTAAGATATATGCGGATGACGTTCACATCTCTGCGTGCCATCCCACTACATATGTGTTCGTGTTCGCCGCACCACATTTGTCTTGGAATACTTTACACCATGTTGTCTCCATCATTTTGTGTTTATTATTCAGAAAACGTCATTTTTACGATTAATTAATTAGATTCGCCTTCTAGCCAATTGCTTCCTCTCATCAGAGTCTTCTCCTTAACTCTCAGTTATTATCAATGCCTTCGCTCTGTTCTTGATATGAAAAAAGTTATGTCCAGTCAATTAAAACCTGGATAGAATCATACACATGATGATCTGTGCTCAATCAGTACAGAAATACTATGGCCGGTCCTAAATATAAAAACTAATTGGCTAATTTGAGTAGATTAAGAAAATGAGTTAAGTTAGTTATTTGTAATAAATATGTGTTGTTTTTCCTAAAATATCCTTGCTAATCAAGTGTATTAACTAGAACTACCATTATTAGAAGGACCATCTTAAGAAAAAATAAAAAATATGAGAGACAAAGTGGATTGAGATCTTATATTTATTATCAAAATAAAAGTCAAATGAGGTTTTATATTAAAGACCCGAGATAGTAGTATATTTTGATGTTCTTCTCAAAATGAAATTTACTGTTTTTATGAACTCCTGATGAGAGTGACCTTTCGAAGCCTCATAAGGATCGAAGGAGTTTGGTTTCATATATACATATCTCACACGTTGCATATTCCAAGTTTACTAGTAGTGGGGCAGCTTAATCCGAGATTTTATAAATACAAAGTTGTGATGAATGATGATAATGCGTTTCGACGACACCAATTAAAACGATTGGACAGATAATAGACTATGGCACCTACGGAAGAACAACTAGCCAACAAAACTGAATATCCGTATATATGACTTTTCACTAAACTTGTGTCTCTTTAGTATATGTAAGAATCTCTTGGAGCAGGCCAAAGACGTCACTTTCCCATGACTCGTTTCTTTTTCGAGTACGGATTTCTCAGCTTCATTATAAGGAGTTTATTATATGTTTAATGATACGAGAGTTTGAATTTTATCAGCCCTGTGGCTGAATATTCTAATTTGGAGGGAAATATTAGATTGATTATCATGCATGCTTAAAATTAAAAAGAAGGAGATGAAGAGGACTAACACAACATATATAAAATACTGTTAGTGAAAGCTTACGTCGCTAATTACACATTTGAAAAGGAAGGGGGTTCTGGCCTATATAAGGGTGTGGATATTCGTTTGGAATGAGCACCAAAATTGATGTGTCATAAGATGGCTAACTCAAAGCAGAAGGTGGTGATATGGCTTATTATTGTGTCAGTGATATTATCAAGTGCTCATAAGTTGGAAAGTCGTCGAGTATTAGTTGAGGATGAGGCCTTGTTAGAGAGGAAGAAGCCGTCAGATAAACAGGTTTCCTTTCAACTTCCCCAAGAATCAAAGCAAGTTAAGGCAACCTTTCACCTAGCAGGCCTCTTTTCTGGGAACATATATTACTCCTCCAAGCGCCGGAGTCCTGGAGGGCCAGATCCCAGACATCATTAAACCACTGTCGTTGTCGACTATAGTGGTTGTTCTTGTCCTTATTGTTTTCCCTTTTGTGACATATATAAGCAGTAACACAGCTCGGAGATCTCTTTCCTTTCGTATATCGTGGTGGCTCTTTTGTTTTTCGCCCACAATAATGCCAACCAAATGCTGTTTAATTTGCAGATTCATATGTACAAATTAAATGAATATAATACTTCTGAAAGACACGTGTGAGTTGTATCAGAAACAGCTTTTAGCTAGCTTAGGTCCATTTGATGATGAGGTATATATTTATAGACTGACGTAAAGTCACAATTAATTGACTGAGAAAACAGAGAAAAAACTAATTTCGCTATCGAATATATAGCCTTTGCTTTTAACTACCTTTTCTAGAATAATTCTTCTATAAGACGTTATCATGTATAGGCGTGAAACGATACATTCATGATTTATTAAAGTTCCAAGGATGACATGACGAGTGAGGTGTTGTGGCCTCTACTCTCTTATTACAAGTGGAGCGTTGTGCATCAGCATCTTGATTTACCTACATATATATATATATATATATATATCTATATATGTAAAATTGAAAATTTAATTTTCCTTCTTTATAATATAACGCATGCACGTACACAAATATGCCAATCTCAAGTTCGAATTCGGGATCTTATGTGATAATACCTTTGAAACAATTAACCATTGGCAATTGAAAATTCCATATTTGGTAGTTAACTAGGCAATTTGTTTAAGGTTTTTTTTTTCCATGAAAAAATATCTATTTTTTGAAATTTATGATACTTGTTTAATTTTTAAAAATAATCCGAATATCTAAAAAAAAGCAAATTGCTCATTATTTTGAGAAATCGGTGCAGTATATAAGAGAGAATGTCATGAGATATATAAAGATGTTGTAAACTTTTTAAGATAACTAAATAATAAATTATCTTTTAGAGCAGAAATCTCAAAAGATATCACAAACTCTAAAAATCTCTAAATAATAATAATCTGTAACTATTCTTTTTATTTGGATATTTTCAGCTTATCTGAGTCGTGTTTTTAATTATCCATTTATTTTAAAAAATATCAAATGCTTTTTTTCATATTTTTTAAAATTCTTTAACTATAGCCGCAGGGCCCGCTGCGTTCTGGTGATCGGCCGGAAGAGAAAAGGAGAGGAAGCAAGGGGAAGGGAAACCAACGAGGGAGTTGGCGGCGGGCACAGTAGAAGCAGGCTATGAGTGAGAGGGAAGAAAGAGGAGATTGAAAGGGAGAGAGCAACACTGCAGAAGGAAAAGAGGTCGACGAAGAAGAGATTGGGGTCAAGTACCTCTATTTCTTGTGCTCTCCGGCGTTCGCTTCAGACCCAGAGCTCAGAACACAGGTAAGTTCCTCCTTTCCTTATATGTTGCTCATTCCAAACCCTTCCGATGACTGTTCGTTCGTTCTTCATTTCTTTCAATCTGGATTAAATCTGCCGCCTGGCGGGGTTTCCAGATGTGGCGCAAGATCCTTAGTAGGCTATGAGTGTGATTACGCAGTTGTGATCATATTTGTGTCTTGAGAATGTAGATGGCTATATGCAATTCATTGTCCCAGTACACAGAATTTCGATTTTACTTCTTCGTATTATGGTCAAGTGGTGATATTGGGTTGTTTTTTTAAAACCAGGAAGTTGGAATTTTGGGAAGTGTCTTCATCTTCTGATGAAAATTTATGCTAAATTTTTTTGGGTTTGGCTATACATACATATATATATAATGTGGCTGCCCAGAGCGATTCAATCCTCCCCCGCCGGCGATTTTATTTCGCGTTGCAGCAGCTTACTGTCTTCTCGCCCTCTCCGGTTGCAGGAGTCTTCTCCAATTTCTCCTCTTTCACATTTTGGCGCCTGTGCGCTTTACTGCTCTACCCGTTACATCATATAAGGATCATTTGACGTCGTTACTTCCCCGTCATCATCATTTGGCCTTCACATGCAGCGTGGGAACTAACGGACTTAACGGAGCAAACTAAATGTGGGCAAACGTTACTAATGATCGTCCGGCTTGAAAATATATTCTTTCCCGGAAAATGACAAATAAAACTCTGTTGGTCCAAAAATGTAAATGAAATTGCTAGTGGGCTAGATGCTATACAGGCCATTTTTCTGTGGCCCAATTTAAGGACAGCCTCTAATTGATAGGCCCAAACGACGGAGGCTATGGCCTCAATCCATCAACGTGAGGTTCGCTATCCCGGCGGATCTAATTGAGAACCAAGATTTAAAGTTCACTGTTGTAAACTTTTAATTGACCGCCATCCCGCGCATGAGTAGCTGCGAAGAGCTTCTTCGACATGGCCAACGTCTTCGCAGGTTGCTCAACGCGTGCTCTTCAATTCGTTCCCTCAAAGAAACAAAATCTCTACATGCTCTCACTGTCACAATGGGTCCAATTCCAAATCAATCTGCATTCATCAACAACAATATCATGTCTGGTTATCTATCATTTGGCCAGCCGGTACTTGCACGTAAGCTGTTTGACTCATTGCCTCAGAAGACTGTTGTTTCTTATAATACACTTATTGTTGAATATGGTCGAAGTGGGGATGTGATCGAGGCTTGGGATTTATTCTGTGAAATGAGGCGTCATGTATTACGGCCAACCCAATACACACTGAGTGGACTACTGTTGTGCGAATCACTTAATCTTGCTCAGGGCGTTCAGTTACATGCTTTCAGCATAAAGAATGGGCTTTTTTGTGCTGATGCTTTTGTGGGGACTAATTTGTTGGGTTTTTTTGGGAGACATGGTTGCTTGGATGAAGTGTTTTCAGTGTTCGAGGATATACCCCGAAAGAGCTTGGTTACATGGAATTCAATGTTGTCTGTTTTGGCGCATAATGGGACTGTTGAAGATTGTCTTCTTATGTTCCGTGATCTTGTAAGGATGGGGGTTTCCTTGTCTGAATATTCTTTTGGTTCCGTTTTGTCTGCACTTGGTTCAAAACAGAGCTTGAAATACGGTGAACTCTTGCATGGTTTAATGACTAAATGCGGGTTCGATTGTCAAGTTAGTGCGGCTAGTTCTCTTATCAGAATGTATGTCAATTGTAAGGGCATAGTCTTGGCAGAAAAATTGTTTGAGCAGATGCCGATTCAGAACGTTGTGTCGTGGAATATAATCATTGATGCGTGGGCCAAAAGTGAGAGGCCCCAAATGGCATTGAAGCTCTTTTCAAATATGTCCAGCAGAGGATTGATGCCTAGTCAGGCCACATTTGTAGTTGTTATCAACTCGTGCACTAATTTGAAAATTCCAGTCTATGGTGATTTCATCCATGCTAAGGTTATCAAGAATGGTTTTAAATCTGATGTTATTGTGGGCACAGCATTAGTAGACTTCTATGCTAAATGCGGAGAATTGGAGTATGCCCATAACTCTTTTCATGACCTAGAAGACAAGAATTTGGTATCGTGGAATGCTCTGATTTTGGGCTACTCAAATAAATGCTCTTCCGCATCTGTTATTTTACTACAACAAATGCTTCAATTGGGTTACCGACCTAATGAGTTTTCCTTTTCAGCCGTTCTTAAGTCATCATTGGCGTCAGACCTGCATCAGCTTCATTGTTTAATTATAAGAATGGGATATGAGAATTATGATTACGTATTAAGTTCTCTTCTTATGTCTTACACTCGAAATGGTCTCATAAACGAAGCCATGGCCTTTGTCAAAGATCTTAATAATCCACTTCCTGTTGTCCCATCAAACGTCATTGCTGGTATCTATAACAGAACTCGCCAGTACAATGAAACACTGAAATTTCTTTCCTTGCTAGAAAAACCAGATGTTGTATCTTGGAATATTGTCATTGCAGCATGTGCTCGGAGCAATTATTATCATGACGTTTTCGAGCTGTTCAAGCATATGCGTTCTGCTGATATCCATCCTGATAATTACTCATTTACGAGCCTTCTCTGTGTGAGTACCAAACTCTGTAGTTTGGCATTGGGCAGTTCTCTTCACGGACTTATTTTAAAGACTGATATCAATAATGGTGACACATTTTTGAGCAATTTACTTATTGACATGTATGGGAAGTGTGGAAGCATTGATAGTTCGGTGAAAATTTTTGGAGAAATAGAAGATAGAAACCTAATTACGTGGACAGCTTTGATTACTGCCCTTGGGCTGAATGGTTATCCTCATGAGGCACTAACGAGATTCCGGGAAATGGAGATGACAGGGTTGAAGCCCGATGCACTAACTCTCCGAGCAGTGCTATCAGCTTGCAGATATGGTGGATTAGTAAGCGAAGGGATGGAATTTTTCAGGAAAATGACAATGATTTACGGGATTCAACCAGAAATTGATCATTATCACCAGATAGTCGACCTTTTGGCTAAAAATGGATGCATTGTGGAAGCTGAGAAAGTCATTGCAAGCATGCCTTTTCCTCCAAATGCTAATATATGGCGTAGCTTCCTTGAAGGCTACAAGAGACAAGAAACTGCAAATCGACTTGTTTAGACAAAACTAATTACTCCACATGACTTTATTGTTTTTTTTTTTCCCTCCGGTCAACATGACTTTTTGTTATTTGATGAACCACCACGTTGTTTAAGGGATGTCAGATATGGTGGATGATGAAGCACTGAACGGTTAGAACAAATTTTATTCGTTGTATTTTCTTTTGGATTAGTATATAGTTGCCGTCTTCAGTGAGAAAAAAATGAAAGTCTGTTCGGCGTGACAAATTAAAATAACTGGAAACAAGAAAGGAAAATGGTGTATGATTAGATTTTCACAGTATTTGGTCTGCATAAAACTCATTCCCTCTACCATTCTTTCTTCCATTTGACTGTACTGGCCATTTCATTGATGAGCTAATGGACCAAGACGGACACGAAGGAATAAGAGATAATAAGCCAGATGCGTTTCTTGCTATAAAAATGAAAAAAGAAAAATTGCTAAGAACATTATTATAAAAGTGGTTTCATTTTTATCTAGAACATACCAAACAACGCATTTGGTAATGCCAAGTCATTCGCCTTTCTGTTCCATCCTCATCTCCGTTCCTTTTTCATTCCTCGAAATGAAAATGCTAAAGGTAATAGCCAATATAATCAGTTCCATTGTCCTTCTATAGTTTTTCATTCCCTGATACTTTTCTTCTTTATCATCACCGTAAAAAATTGTGGCAGATCTTGTTAGTAAAATATGGGGTATGATGCGGTCGACTCTGAGTGAGTTAGAGCGTCCACTCAGAAATAACAGTTTGTTACATCCTTCGAAAAAAGAACCCTAGCGAACTATTTCATGATGTCTAGGTAGGTTCCTAACATGATTTCTATTGCAGATGATAATTAGGTTCTACAGGAAGGAGTGGTATAAAGAACTGAACTGCTTTAGCTGTGAAAGCGGTAAGCACTTCCCCACCCTATTTGTAAGTATCATTTACCCTCAACAAGAGGGCACTCTCATATTATGCTTTAGCCTTAGCCTTTAGGGTTAATCTTTTGACGCAGACAAGTTCACACATAGCAGCTACTGTCAGTTTTAAATTCAAAATATGCAGTTCAGTGAGCATCTTGACCTCGTTACCGAACTTTTGAAATATGTTGTGGTGGACAGTTAATCGTGTTCAGTATTTTGGGTTCCACTACCTTTTCGTGGTGCCCCTTTTTTTAATGATTGGACCTGATTCATTACTACGATCAGCCAGCTTTATAGATAAGAAATTTTGAACGAAGCAAATTAAACAAACCACAAAAAAGTTAGGGTTCTTTACTGCCTATATCTTTATAATAACTCTAGGAATTACAAAACGACTCTTCCACTAAATTAATGCAGCAATCTAGCGAACCGTTAAAAAGATAGCGACTCTACGCTATGCTGCAAAGTTTTTTAGGGATATTACTTTTCATTATTGGGATTACGGTGATTATCATTCAATTGTTGACCACCGTCCTAAGTGTCCGTTGATTAAAGAAAAATGGTGACTAGGCTTTTTCAACATAAGTAATGGCCAGTTATTGATCCGAGGCACTCCCATGGAGGTGGAGGAAACATCGCATTCCATTAGAGGAAGGTTTTTAGTTACGTTAGGGGTGTGCATGAAGCCCAAATGCCCGCTGAGCCCGCTCGAGCCCGAAGAAAAATTGCCCAATCCAGCCTGAAAAAAAAGATCCCGAAAAAGAATGGGCATATTTGGGCTGGGAATTTCATGGGCAGGGCTGGGCATCGGGCAGGACATGCTGCCCTACCCAGATTGTATATATTATAATTTATAAAATAATATTAATATATTACATTTCTTCATCTAAAAAAAAAAGTTATCTCCCTCCTCTTTACAATTTAATTTATTATTATTACATGTCTATTAGTTTTCCATTTTAGGGGATCTAATTCTTCTAAAGAAACAATAGTATCTTGTTTTTAACTTATTCTTCGTGAGCTTTATTGTGTATATCCTATTGTGTGTTGCTGTTGTAGTGTTGGCTATTTATAAGTCAATCTTCCCCTCTATGCCATTAACAACTTTCTTTATTAGAGAATGAAATTCATACATTACATATTCGTATAAATAAACAATTTTGAATATTTATGCAAGATAGAAAACAAGATTGGGGTAGGAGCATGGAAAGAAAATTGGGGTTTAATTATCCGAATTACATGTTTTTTTATTTAATTTATATTTAGTTATTTTGTATTAATTTTTTATGAACAAGTCATATGATAGAAAGAAGTCTTTTAATTGTATGGGCTACTAACTGCATTGTATCACATAATAAGTATTTACATATTAAAAGTGGTTATATTAAATTATTATAAGATTATAAGATTTTTTATTTTTCTTTTTACAATTATTTTCACCCTATTTTTATATGGTCTATGTTATTCCTATTAGCCTATTGCTTCAGTTTTAATATCCTTTTGCAATCCTTTAGGTAACATTGAATTTTTGCCACTTGAATGGATAATCAAGTTTCTATTACATCGCTATCCCTGACTCTCAATGGAATATCTCAATGTGCTTCAACCCCTCTTCAATTTATTCAGATGTTTTATTCTTTTCTCAACTTTCTGGAGATTAATGCAAACCGTTTAAATTTCAAGACTTTAATTACAATCTTGAGAGTTGTTTTGTTCTAAATGGATTATGAATATTATTTATTTGGATATTTGCTAAGACTTGTTTTGAATTATTTCCGGATAATTTTAATATGTGAAAATGTAAAATTATGAAATGTAATTTACAGGTATAGATGAAATTTTTTTACATGTGATATCAGTAGGTCATCACCATTTGGGCAGCAAAGCCCGCCTTGCCCAGCCCAGCCCAGCCCGCCCATGCCCAGCCCAAAATGGTTAGGGCTTCTATGAGCAGAGCCAGGCAGCGGGCTGCAAAATGCAGCCCGTTCATACTTCGGGCTGGGCATCGGGCAGGGGCCCTGCCCAGCCCTGCCCATGTACACCCCTAAACTTTACGTTTAATGTGTGATGTGAATTAAGGTAACTCAACGACAGACGCTTGTAGAACTTTAACTCCATTTCTAGAAAGCTAAGAGAAGAAGGCATCTTAATTACACATGCAGTTTCTGTACAGTTGGAACTAATTTAGTTGATTAACTGTGCATTTTTTGCTAGAACTTAGAAGATATACTCAGGTCTAAAAAAATGAAAGATGGTATATGTCTATGCAAAATGCCATGATCAATGAGAAACTATAGAGTTAACTACATTATTATCCGAAATCTCATGACATTTGGCAATGGCTCAATTTGCAATATCTGATATTTACTATGCTGCAAAGGCGAATGACTTGTTTGCAGTTAATTATGTAGCACAGTTTTCCTATGAGCTTATAGTCCATCTCCAAGCTCCTAAATAACAAGTTTACAGCTTTGATATGAGGCAAGAAATACTATAGCGTCCAGTTTTATTTCTGGTATACATATCCTTATTAGCAAGATTTGACTCTTGAAATTTTAATATTCTCCTTGGGTTTATATACGCGGCTGGAACTTGCAAGCGGGTGTGTGTGTGTGTGTAGACCCGGTACCCACAGAAAATAGCGTAGTGGGGAAGCCAGTTGTGCTAAATTTTCAACATTTGCTAATATTCGTTCATAAACTTACTTTTGACGCTTTATTAGACATCTTTTCCAAAAAGTTACTTTTATACATGCATATCTAAGATCAAATCGCACTAGCTAGGCACCTAGTGTTGAGTATGTGAGAGACGGGCATTGAGTGAATCATTTTGGTACTTGGCAGCTGTTGTTCCATTGTTCCACTTAAAAATTTAAAGCGAAGGCAAGCACCGTGATCAAGTTGCAGAAATGACTAGAGCTAGCGATATGAAACCAATTAATTATTAACTTCAAAGAATTCCATGCGGAAAGAACAAAGCTTGATGTGTGCGTGTGTGTGGGGGGGAGAGAGAGAGATCTTTTGAGTATCTCTTCCAGTCTTCCTAGAGTTTTCTGTCTTTTTTTTTAAAATTCTTTGAATGGAGTCGTCGTCATAGACTTTAGCACTTGCTTTCATTTTTCTCCAATTTTTCCGATGGAGCTAAAACTAGAGAGAATTTTTGTAGTTCAATTGAGCTTCTTATGATCTCTTTATGTACGGCGGCTCAATCCACTAAACTCAGTTTTGGGTTTTTCCTATGACAATCGCCATGATCTCAGATCTCCGTGACTGCATTAATATAACATGAACTGGAAGTAAAATGGGCAAAAATTCACAGTGAATAATGGCTTGGATCCTCTTGTTAGGTTCGTTCTGTTGTTCTTTGTGAAATTCTTAATTCTTAACTTTCCCAAGAAACAACATATCGCTAGTGAGTCTTCAGCAAAAGTGCAGTCCCCAGCTGAGGTGGAGCCACTATGTAGGACTTAATAGTGTTAACTGGGTTTAGGCGCCAAAAGTTTGATCCCATGATAATGGCCGCCACCTGCATTAGTTATTGAATCTTGTTCTAATTGCTAACTTTCCATTTTTATAGACTGAGATTTGACCTTTAAGCCTCCGAGGGGATAGTCAAGTTTCTAGAGGGAGACAAAACAGTCCATTATAAATTCTCTGTCAACAAGTTGATCCTGGTTTTTTCCATATTATTGATTGATTATCCTGATTAATCGTGCCCTATAACTCCAAAGGTCCATGCCTATGTTGACTCCTACTTAATTCCTCTGCATCTAATTAAATTATGATAATATTAATACAGATATAATACAGATATAATATTAATACATATATTATTTAATACTTATCACATAACCTATATGATGCCCTATCGTGCTACATGTGTATCTCTCCCCATCTCAGAGGATCTATTAGTACGTAGAAGGTGAGAGAATGAGATATATATGTGTGTGTATATATATAGAGAGAGAGAGAGAGATGGTAGCAAACAAGAAAATCTTCATGCAGCTTGCTTAATTAAAAGGTGGCCCAATGTTTATGCAAGATTTTGGCATATATGTTAGGAACCATATAAATCACGTGGTCGATCGAACACTCTGGCATTGTGTTTTCTGTTGTTTTGTTCTTGGTTTCTACTATCAAGTTAAAAATAAATGACCTCATAACTTAGCAAATCATAGGGAATCCAGATCATATGAGAGATTTTTCTAGCCAATCGACGGTAAAAAAAGTGAACGGCGGAAAAAGATACTCAAAACAAAACTAATCTAAAAACAAATTTCCTTCTCTTAAAAAAATTGTGTGAAGCTCACTACTTTTGAGCTCACAATTCCAGTATAATTATATCTGGTCCCACAATTTAAAGGAAAAAAAAAAGAAACATTTTCATTACTTTCCCCTTGATGAATTAACAACTTCATCAACATCCGCATAATTTACAAATATATTTCTTGAAAGTAGTCGTCTTTGCCATATACGCCAATATTCATGTTTCCTTTGGTATGATAATTATCCTCGGGCTAGAAGAAAAAAAAATTAAAAAAATGATTAAGCTCTTCCTATAAATAGATAGTGCGTAGGATCAGCTTGCAAGCCACTTCACCTCTCGATCGATTCTCATCATTAAGTTACAGTGATCTCTGCATGGCTGCTACAGGTGAAGCACGAGTAGGGTCCGTACTTGTCCTAGTCCTAATCATGATGGTCTCAGCCGGCTTCTTCGCGGCTTCGGAGGGACGTGTTTTTGCAGGCCACTTAGTGATTCGGAAGCATCGCCTTCTGCATTATGAGCATGACGGTTTTGATCTTTCCAAACCAGTGCACCTTCGAGCTTCTCACACTAGTAGTACTCCTCTTCTCACAGCTGATAATTCAGATAGAATCTCACCTGGAGGACCTGATCCTCAACATAATAACTGACATACATATTATTAGATGCATGCTTGAAAATCTATAGACTATATATAGTGATCCTTTCACATCTTCCAATAAAAGCTCTGATCGAGTGCTTTCAGTTCCCAGTGTTCTGCAGCCTCAGTAGCAAATTATGCATCTTTATATAATTAGTTTTACTGTTACCTTTGTTATGTGTTTGCTCTTTTCTTTCTTTTTAAGAGGTGTTTGAAGAGTTGGGTGGTGATGAACACGTAAGAGCCCAGTAATCTGTCTGGTTGTTATAAGCAATATCATATCTATAGATCGATTGCCATATATTTTTGCGCTTCCACCATAATCACTTGATTAGATCATCAAGTAACAACTGAAATAATATTACTGCATGAAGAAGCTGATCGTCTTAAATGAATAAAATAAATGGATAAATCATAAAGAATACGAGAAGTTTCTGAGCATGGTATGATAATTCTATCATTAACAAATTAAAATTGCGCATGCGTGTGGTAGGAAGAGAAAGGAATGCAGACAGGAAACACATACTGTTGTGGCAAGTTTAATTTGTGGGTGGGCATTTGTAGTTTAAAAAAACTTAGTGAAGATGCTGGGGCAAGTACTAATCTAAAGAAATTTATATTATGCTGCGAATATTAAATAATATTTTTGTAATAAATATACCCACGTTCGTAATAGAATATTTGCTTTTACTAAAAGAAGTTTTTTTTTTTAAATCATTTTTTCAGGCAAAACAAATAAAACTTCTTAAATCTAATTTGAAATCAAGTATATGTTAACATATTATTTTTAGCATAAAATTTTGATAAATGATTTGTACTTTAAAAAAGCTAGAAAAATAGCATAGGATTCATATTGAGTTACATTTACAACATAAACTAAGAGCAATGCCTTGCCTTATATGAGTAGAGAGCTAGGAGAAGAAGCGTTGCAAACAAAGGGAGGCAAGTTGTCTAAAACAACTCAAAGGATATGAGAAACAAGTATATATACGAACTAATTAAATAAAAAAACCCAAAACATTATAATTTATGACTCATTGCATGAGCTAATCAATCGACCAATATCTGACCTTGGAGGATTCCGCGACTTTAAAAGATGTGGATTCCAGTTAATCACATGCCCCCACCATCCTCTCTCAACCAAAACTTCTTTTAATGAACAGAAAAAAAAAAACACTAATATTAAATATATTCTTCTGAACTGTCCCCTGCATATAAATATATAGAACTAGGCCATCACATTCCATAAACTACCCCAGATCTGACTGCTAATATCCTCCAAGTTTCGTACTTCATTATGGCGAATGCAGGAGTAGCTGCACGAGTGTCATCAGTACTTGTGCTAATAGTGTTGTTGATGGTGGTGGGTAATGCGGAGGGTACTGAAGCTGCAAGTGTAGGGTATATAGAAAGCCAAGTGCGGTTTCTGCATGGATTAGGGTTTGGTGTTCGAGGAAGACGACTGAGGCTTAACGACGTTGCTGCTCCATCGGATAGGGTTTCGCCTGAAGGACCAAACGCCGCCACCACTGGCGACGTTCACCTCCATCTAATACGACCTAGCAATGCTCATATATACGATCGACAACCTTGATATATAATCACCTACGTGCGATCGATGTTCTTTAATCTCAGAAACCACTTCATATCTAGGCACTGGACTTCACACACACACACATGTGTTGTCGTTATTGTTTCTTTTCCCCTGCAGTGAGCTATATATATATATATATATATATATAGCTACTTATTGTCCCTTCTTTCTTTTTCTTTTTGTTTTTTTTCCCCCTTAACCACCATCATCACCTTGCTCCTTTTTCTATTATACAAAGTGACTAAGGTATAGAGCCAGCAGAGAGATCCAGATTGGTTTTAGATCTAGATTTAATCCTATAAAGGTGCTTGAATGATCATTAAACTTACAATGAATCGAAAGTCACTTATTAGTGTTTTATTGTTCTGAAGGGGGCTTCTGTTATGAAACTCCTATCCATCCTTTCTCGTTATGATTTATATATGTACATTTCTTCGTCCATGCATGTAATTGGATCCGAAAGAGAGAGCTAATGTTTTGAGAATTAATTACATGTAATGTGAATTCATGCATCTAAGATTTACGTACATATAAATGACGATTATTAATATATTGAACGCCTTCCAAAGATCACATTAAAAGACTGAAGTAATTTCAGAGTTTTAAAATCCATGGCCACGCGTGATACAATCCTATAAGAACACGGCGGCTCACAAAACCAGTTAAGAGTGTGTGTGTGTGTGTGTGTGTGTGTGTGTTGAAGAAGCAGATATTGTGACAGCTACTTGATGCGCCTTGTAGGTGTCCTTCTAGCATCTCAAAGGGAAACGCTTTCATACTTTAAGTTCTGAGCATCAAATTGTTTAACAAAATGGATTTTAGTCAATATATTGCCGTTCCCTTCCACTAAATTACTTTGATTAATCCCAAGGCCTATAGCTCCTCATTCTTACCTAAAAGCTTCTATCAATATAATTTCATGGCCATCTTTTTAATTACAAGAGAATATTATTATTTCTTCCTAAAAAGTAAAAATGTCTCATTCATAAAATAATTTTTCTTTTCATTATTTATTTATCTTTTTTTTCACTAGGGATACCAAATGGGAACAGTTTTTTTTTTTGGGTTATGTATAGGCATCTTTTTATTGAAAATAATCCTATTTGAAGCAATCAAGCACTAAATGTGACACTCTTTCAATGAAGATTTGAACCTAATTTATCACTTTGTGAGAAACTAATTTATTCTATTAAACCCAATCCCTGTGATTTGGGGATGGACATGTTGAAACATGAGTGTCTAAGATTGCAATTTCTGGTCCTCTCTTGGGCTTGGATCCAGGCCCAAATTGAAAGCCCAAACATACGATGGCTTGGGAGGCTCAAAACAACACTCATCGAATCCTTGTCTTTGTCAATCTCAATGCAGAAAGTAAAACACTAAAACCTCCAAAGACGAAAGTATACCTCCATTATTATTTATTGTTTCACTTTCACAGCATCAATAGCAGAACTACAAATGATATTCTATCCAAAAAAAAAAAAACACAGAGCAGTACAAATGGTAGATCCATAAATCAGAAGCAAAGGATCGAGTTTTGCATCCCCAGAACTTGAACTGCATGCTTTTGCTTTGCTGATAATTTGTCTTGTTTGCAGTCTGAGTTTTTCTTCATATACAGAATGCAGGCAAATCTTTCCCCAATACATATTGAGAAGCCAGAGTTACCAATCAAGTAAATAAATCTAAATCACATAACTTAGATGATCATCACTACTCTATTCCCTTTTTATTGCCCAGTGACATGAGCACATGAATGGCAAATGATTAATTTTTCTAGTGGAAAACAAAGGGTTTTCCTATAATGATGAGAAGATAATACTAATATAATATAATGTAAGAATGATCACCCAAAGAGAGCGGCATGGAGAAGAATATTCCAGGTATCAGGGACGCCTGGAAGACACCAGTGGCTACAATCTGTGTCCATAACTCCACTGTAACCTTCAGGGTGAGCATCTTTTCTGTACTGAGACATCGTCGTCACGTCCAGAAAATACACTGGTTTCTTCACCCTGCTCAGTACCTTGTTCACCACCACCCACGCCATTGGTGTCCCTCCTGGGTAACTCAACCCAAAGAATGGTTCTTTCTCCTTCATGCATGAACTTGTTGGCTGGTTCCACATTCTTCCCCTGTTTCATTATCAAGTTACATCCAACTTGATTACTAAACATCACAATTCAAGACCACTTTGGAAGTCTGTATATGTATTAATGAGGTTAAAGGGCTTACTCGTAGTGAACAGGGGAAATTCCCAGGAAGAAGACCTTGGTTTGGGAAGGATTCACGTTGAGGTTAACCCATCTTGCCCAGGTGGTCAAACCTTTGTAGAACGCAATCATGCGGTTCATGTCTTTGTACAGCCTGTGTCTGTCTTGAATATAATCAAACCTGGAAAGCTCAGAATTTGTTTGATCAACGTTAGCATAAAGCAAACATGAGTTTACTGAAACCGCGTAATTAGGGTAATTAAGGATATGAAGAATTACGGTTGGGCTGAGCCTGTGTGAGTCCACCAGTGCCAAGTGTTGAAGATGAGAACGTCCATGCCTCTCCAAGCATCACCACTTTTAATGGAGTCAAGCTTCAACACTCTTCCCACTCGCTCTCTGTCGAGATCCACCAAATATGGCGTCCTATACAGAAATAAACTCAGTCCATAGTCCTGCAATATTCATCACCACAACATCATAAGCCGTGTTCATGACAATAATTAAATGAATAACATATTTAGTTTAATGTCATAATTAGCAATCTTAAACAGTTAAATTAAACGGATCGATGAGATTGAATATGAACAGAAGCATGGAGAAAATCCCAATCCATCAAGAAAGGTGCAGGTGTAAAACAAGTATTTAACATGCTTAGGTAGTTGATTAAAAAAAAAAATCCCATGAATAAAAATATAAACTTTATAGTTTTCGACATTAAATATATAATATTGAAATAAAACTAAAATGCACGTTTAATAAAGTATATATTCTAACAAAAATCATTAATACTGTTTTGATATTTTTTTCAGTAACATCAATTAACAACTGATAGATTCCTTATAAAAGTTGATAGCTTCTTAAGCCATTCCTACGGTCTTCTCTGGATTGCCTTTCAAGCCAGTGAGGTCCAATCATGTCAGTAAATTATTATTAATAATAATAATAATAATAATAATAATAATTTTGTGTAGAGGACATGAAGTATATAGCAAACCATTACCCACGGGGTTGAAACGAGAGAAAACATAGGTCTGCAACAAGTGGTCCTAAATTTGACGCTTTCCAGTTTACTCACTGACCCTTCAATGGCGAAGCCGTGTAAGAAGAGAAGTGCGTCTAATTTGTGTTACATATGGTCCCTACCCATCTGTCATTACAATCTAGCGCCACATATATTACACGATTCGACCCTTAAAAATTATCAAATCAATCTTACCTTTAGTTTTATTCATTCACATTTAATCTTTTTCTAGTTATCCCTCTGATAGAAGCACACTATAATGTAAGAAAAAGAGAGAGACGAACAAAGAAACAGGATCCACATGAACAGTTCCATTAACGCTCTCTTTTAAATGCAATCTTATGTGTTGTTTTTGATATGTATAAGAAAGATGTTTATCTAATTATCATCAATCATTAAATTTACAGACAGACGCATCAGCAAAAGGAGATGGGGTTTGATTCAATGTCTCTGTTTCACTCATGACTCGCTTACCATACGGCGATATGGAAGACAAAACTTACATGTTCAGCATCAATTATTGCTGTTCCGGACATTCATTAGTGTCGTACAGTTTCTCTATAAAGCAAAGGGTGAGGTAGCAAATTCAGAAAAGATCGATGTTTTCTGCATCAAATAAGTTTTTTTTTTATTTTTTAAACCAAGCTAGGTGAATTTTGCAGAATATAAGGTTCCTCCTTTAACCATAACGAGAGCAAGTCATTTTTTTCCCCCGTGTTTCAAGATCAGATCCAAGAAAATTATGGAATCGTGTCTAGCTTTTGGGATCAAATGTCAGAAACATTTGTTGAGTATTGATCAAATTATTTAACTTTTCAACAATACACGTTTCCTGGTAAAAGAAAAAGCCTTCCAACTTCAATCACTTGTTTGCTTCATAGGAAAATGGCAAAAAAAAAAAAAGCTCCACCGGATCAAGTGTTATTTGAGCTCAAGACTTACCGAATTGTACCAAACAGATTCAAATGGCTTGCAAGTTTTGAACTTAAAGTTGGAAAGGAAAAAAGAGAAAATGACAATACAGCAATCATTCCAATGCAAAAATTTCAAATTTTTCAAAAATGGGAAAGCAAAGACCAACCTCGAATGTGACCGAAGAAAGAACGCCTTTTTGTCCAGTGGACGTCCTGGAGTTTGGTACCCAAGAGTGAATCATACAAGCCAAAGAATTGAACTGGTTCAAGCTCAATGAATCACCCACAAACATAATCTTCTTGCCCCTGTATTTCTCCAGGAAATTCAAAGCATTGAACCTGCACAAAAGCTCGTACAAATTTTAAAATAAACATGAGATTCTGCTACAGAAATCAGCGCACTACAAAACATGAAGCATCTGTATGTGATTCCATGGAAGTGAGTACATACCTTGGCAAGGGACAAGAAAATGGCTGCCATCTATATTTCTGATACATGGTATCAGGGCGACCATGCTTCTGGCAGTTGAACTGGTGATCTATGAAGGGACAGGAATAAGGATTGTAGAGAGGATACGAAGCGTCGTAAACCCATTTCCCTCGGAACCAATTGCATCGACCACCTGCGAGCTCTCTAGCTCTGAGGTTGGTTGCATTACCGAAGGAGGAATCCAAGTCCTCTGCTTTTGTTTGGTGCGAAAACGGAGTGAGAAACAGAGAGAGGAACAGAACACGTAGGAGGAAACCCATTTCTTGGGTTTCGGGAAGAATTCTGTGCTAAAGAAAAACACTAGCAGCGTGCTCAAAGTTGTCCAACGCATGACCTTTATATATAAATGTGTATGGGACACACAGAAGCGTAGGAAGTGGGTACGTAAGGGGTCCACTAAACGGAGTGAAAACAGAGCACTTTTTTTATTTATTTCCTATTTTAATATTCTTATTCTGTTGGCACAGTAAACGGAACTTCACATAAAAATCAGGTTCTTTTTTAAACCATGAGCATGTGGGGTTGATCCAATTCTTGATCTGGAATCATGATGAGCTTGATTCAAAAATAATGGCCGCATTTTTCTTCACATAGAAAGACACAATATAAAATGCGCTCTAAAGCTAATTTCTGGTGGATGATGGGTGATTTAAATATTTAAACAAATAAAGCAAGTTCTATAAAGTAAAGTAAAGTAAGATCAGTTTATGTGCATTAGGAGAAAATATCAAATTTAATCTAGTTCGCTCCAGCATTCCTTGTTTCTGTAATTTGATTCATCTTCTTGTTGCAGTTTTAACTTTTTCTGCAGCCCCTGCTATGAGTTTCATTTCAATTTCGTCTTTTGTTTTCTTATCTGTGTTGTTTTTTTAAACTAAGTGCACACGGTTTGACCAGTCATTTTCAGCTCATTGTTTCATGAGCCTGCTTTGATTTCTTTCCTATAAAAATGGGGGTTTTCGGCGTGCAGGATATAGGCCTTAGTTGCATTCTATAAAGAAAAATAATCTATGCTAATTGCTAAATCTGCGTGACAAGGTTGATCAGTGTCAGACGTTTTTCTCACACCTAGTATATTTATTTCCGATCAGCTTGATCTGGACGGAGCTTTTATATTTTGGCATAAAGGCCGCGGAGGACGCTCTACAAACGAGAATATTAAATAGAGAAGCATTAAACTCGTCACATAAATTATAAACCAAAAGATTCTTATTCTCATGGTGAGGAACATAAAGAACACTATTTCCATATTACGCACCCGATTGAGGCAGAGTGAAACCGACAAGAAATTAGCCGAAGGTTTGAGAATTTGTTTGAATCATGTTTTTAAAGTCTGGTGAGGTAACATACAGACATAATGAAGCTTTCGTTATCTAGAAATCACGCTTTATGGTTTCACGGTAAAAAGTTTGATTAGTTTATAAGGTAGGAATTTTGGATTAGTCCAAACCCAGTAATATAAAATAAATAAACAAGTCTACTTTTGTGCTGTATTACCATATTTATATTCTATGTATAGTAGAAGACAAACTTACCTGCGTTTGCAAGCAGATAAGTTCAGAGTACAAGATAAATAAAAGTCTCTGCGACTTATAAGTCAAGATCTGCAGGAACCATCCTTTGAGAAATCTTTCTCCTGCTATTTTATCATATTTCTTAACACGTTTGGAATATTTTCGTCCATTTAGAATGGGGAAGAAAGAAAAAGAAAAGAAAAGAGGAAAAGAACAAAAGCGGAGGGGCCAGGAAAATTAAATGGAAGGCGGTAAGTGACCTCCATGTTTTGTTCTATTGAAACTCAGAGCACTTGCCAAACTGAACTCTAGCACCCCCACCAACCATTACTTGAAAATTACAGTTTCCAAAGTCCAAGGGTGAGTTGTCCCTCACTACATCCTATTTTCAAATAATTTTTTTTCCAAAAAAAAGGAAGCTTTATTTTAAACTAAATTTGATACGCGCACAAACACATTACACATGGATGCATGCATATGAACATTTATAATTATTCTGTACGTAGCAGCAGAATAATAGAGGGTATCGTAATAATAATAAACATGTTCACATGAAAAAGAAAAATTTGAAGTGAAGGAACCAACAATTGAAAAATTGAGTTCATGGACTTGGTATGAACTGGAGCCTCTAATCAATAATCCTTTTGATGAAGAAACTTAGTGTGATAAGGCCAATACAAAAAGAACAAAAGATAATGTGACTAGTGGAAACATGGATGGCCTAAGCTATTTTATAATATATGACTGCAAAAATTATGTTCCATGTCCAATGTCTTACCAATTTTGTAATGACGGGTAGGTGTCAAAAAGCAATCTTTTGGTCTCTGAAAGCAACAAATAATAATAATAATTTTTTTAAGGTTCTACGTTGCAAAATTTATCAAATTTAAATGTTTTGAGTATAATTTTTTAGGAGCATTTATATTTTGATGAGTTGAGCAATTATGAGAGTTGAGGGTATGTGTATTTGAGTGATTTGAAAGGGTGGGAAGGGACGAAAGCTAATGAGAGGTGTATGATTAGCAAGCTCTGATTATTGAACTGTGAAGACAAAGGGCCTTTCAATGACACTGAAATGGTCGGGTGGGTGGTGTGGTTAGTTATTTGGAATCAGAGTTTAGTGTTGATGAAGCAATGTGCCATGAAGGCTGCCCCCATAGGATAAGACTTTAATGTTTTGGATATAGACGTGGGTAGGGACATTGTTTCGTTTTTGTGCAAGTGCAACAAATTAAAATCCAATTAATTGCAACTTGAGACGTCTATTCACGCAGGCACTATTTTATTTTATTCTATTCTATTTTTTAATTAAAGAGGTAGATATTAATAGTATGATATTATAAACGCCGGGACCTCCCACTTACAGAAAAGCGTATATGACTTTTAGCTAATATTTGTTTTTCTATTAACAATTTTATTAAATATACAAGTCAAACTTTGAGGATTTGTTTGGAGAGAATAAATACTAAACTTTCTCAATCACTCCCTCAGGTCTCCATTGCAAGTTACTCCTAATAATTTTTATTAGAAGCAAGGAAAAATTTTAAACTCATTGAATCTGCATGTTTTCTCCCACCCAGAATCATCAACTTTTTATAATAAAAAACAATAGCTGGTGGATCATTATATTGATACCAAAGCAACACCTACATTGTTAAGAATATGATGAACACCGTGCATTGATCAACTCAACAAATGATAATGAACACAATAAACCCTTCTAAAAGCGATTTATCACGAGGACCAAGTTACCCTAGCTCTCGATGACCTCGCTCTCGATGAGGATGCAACATCCTTTCACATTACAGGGTGTTTGGATACTTTAAAAAGTCCTTCTCAGAAGTACTTTTCCGCAAATCGAGATAAATTCTTCTATATATTTACCACGTAGACCGTAAAATCACTTCTGAAATCATGATTTGGTTTCCATCCAAACACCTCTTACAACACATTGACAATAAATACTTTACGTATATTAGGGTCCTTACTTAATTCATATCTAATCTTAATCAATTAATCTAAGATCTTGACTAATTAATACTTCTCTAATCCTAAATATAAAGACCTTATACATATCAATATAAGGGTCTTATATTTAAGATCAGAGGAGTATCACTTTAGCATCTCCTGTATACATTAATCCCCGACATTTTCCCGCTATACCCCTTTTGGCATCTCACAGAGAAACATGGCATATTTCCCTCCACGTCTTATTGTTTTTCCCATTTGGATCATTTCAAACAGTCCATTAAGATAAGGGAAATTGACAAAGAGCTATTAATGCAGCGTAGGGACGTTTATTGAAAAGTATGAATCACAAAATTGCGTTTTTCTCACTCCCGCTTGTCAGCTTGTGAAATGACCGGTTTCTTTCACTTTTCCTTTTACCCCCTATTATTTAATTAATTATTTCATATTTCATAACATGTACACATTCTTTACGCCATCAAACTTTGAAATATTGACATTGAATAACATCACATTGTTTTATTCTAATGATGACATCGCACTTACCATTGATTGCTCAATTACTTGTAACGTCACATTTTATATTCACATGCCGAATCATTTGATTCTGAAACTTGGATAAAGTTTTAATCCAACCATCATCCTTTATATATACTTCTCCTATACTTAATGTAAAAAATAATTAAATAATTTGAATAGATTAAAAATATTAGTTAAATTAGTCAATATGATATTTTCATCAATAGGGTTAATCAAAACAACTTAAACTTCTTCCTTAATTTTCTCCCTTCCTTTCTTGCTTAATTATTGTTGAGAGAATATCAATAGGGTTAATTTAGAAAAAAATTAATAAACTTGTGAAAGAAGTCTTATATATAAGATCAACATTAATTTCTTAATTAGATAATATATTAAGGACCAAAGAGTATAAAATAATAAAACGTGTGTTTGCATAACATTTTGCTCCTTTATATTCCAATGTGGGGCCAAAAAAAGAAAAGGATTTTGCTTACATTGTATATCAAGTCACATTAGTCATTAGTTAGTAATCCATAATCATTTTCTTAGTTTTTTTCCAACATTTGATAATGTTCTACAAATTTCTGCAATGTAATAGTTTTTTGGTTTTATAAGCACGTGTATTTTTTTTTTTGGAGATAATATTAGTCAAAAAATTATCGATGTGAGATACTAGCCTGATTCGACTCTCTTTTTTTTTTTTTTACTAGCAGGATTCGACCCTTATTAGTATAATATTGGTTTTTGAATAAGCATAATGTAGCTCAGATTATAGATCCGCTTAATTACTTCACATGGATTCTTTGCGTCTTCCTGTTTTATACACTTGTTATCATTTTCAAATACTAATTACATCAAAAATACTTTTTTTCTTGAGAATAGTTTTTTAAAAAAATTATGTATCTAAATTGGCTTACTTCAAGTTTTAAAAAAAAAAGGCTAACTAATGTTGCATAAAATAAAAATTGAAAGATTTGACAAGAAACACATGGTAGGACAATAAGTAGACGGAAGGGAATATCATTACTAATTTCTGACCACTTTATTAAGTTTGAGCTATCTAATCATTATTGCACTCCATTCGTAATTATCTACACCAACCTAATGAAATCTCATTACCAATTATCTTCGTCCTCCATCATAACACATTTAATAATGTTCATTCATGTAACTACTTGTCTTTGTAATGAGCACGTTATAATTTTAAAATCACATATACAATAAAACAGACGCAGTGTATAATAAAAATGGCCTTCATGTAGGTCCTATTTGCCTCTGTGGGTTGTCATCTTTTATTGAAGAAAGCCATCCAAAGCAACTTTATGGAGTTCTTAATTTGACGATAATGAACGAAAGGAATAGATGCTTAGGTGCACACGTGTTTTGCGTTCATCTTATTGGCTAAAGGTGGATAAAAAGAAATGTGGTTATCTTTGTTCAGAAGATAATTCTATTTCAATTTGGGCTGTGTGGGCCATGCCTGCCAAAACAAGCCTGGCCCATTCTCCCTTTTCTGTGGACTTGGAACACAAGTTGCTTGTTGAATGGGTAAAAATTCTTAGATACTTAGCTTTCTTCTCCATGTGTTGCATCTTCTTCTTGTCTTTTTCCTTTTGAATTTTCACAAGTCAATAATGGCAGGCAGGCCTTAATATCGTTCATCATCATGCCAAATACTAATAGCTCCGTTGAAACCAAGACCCTTAACATATTCTTCTACTTAAGGTTTATATTGATTTTTGTCTAAGTGGAAAACTAGACTTTTATCTTCCTCCTTATATTTTAATAAAAGTGTGACCTCTACGAGGGAAAAAAAAAATCAGAAATTCAGCCGGGTGTTAGTCCCATCATAATTGAAAAACCATACACTCACCATATCTTACTCCTTTGGTCCTATTTATAAGACAGGGAGGGAAGGTTTTTCTTGATCCTATTTATAAGCCACTTTATTAAATTTTTAGCATAAATGTACTATTTTATCCTTAATTTATTACAATATAGATAGTTATTCTTTTGAAAGGCGTATATATTAAATGAGGGTAAAGTTGAAAAGTTATTATATTTTAATGAAAAGTTAATGCAGTTTAAGGTTTTTCTTGATTTGTATGAAATATGTTGGAAGTGGTTTATAAATAGACTAGAGAAGTAAATAATAAGCCCAACAGTATATAATAATTATGGACAATACTCACATCAAATTTTTTATATCTATTATGTTAAGTTTTTTAATCACAAATTTTTCATGTGAATCCATAATTAAACAATAATATTTCAAAAATAGGATATATAACGATGCGTGACTAGAGAACTTAACATAATAAATATAAATAATTTGACCGGAGTATTTTCCAATAATTATATAAATATCTTTTTTAAAGTATGATTTATTTGAAACGTGTGTGAAAGAACAAAATGTTCAAAATCTTCTATAGATGTAATTACATAAAACTAGGGGCGTTATAAGCTACCTGATATTGGCCCCGTTTGGTATTACTTTGTAGATAAAATTTCCTCATATACTTATATCATATTTTGTAAATTACAATTAGAAAACTGTTTGTTTATAAGCCATGCTAAACATGCTCATTATTAGCTTAGATAAAAATAAAATAAGATGTAAGTAATGATGTAAGGTTCAAACCTTTCTAATTATTACCGACCTGAAAACCCTTCCAATTGGGGAAAAAAAATTTTCTTCATATTGTTTCAACGTAGGCCCGTCGGATCAAAACAAAGGGCAAACGTTACAAGTATAGGCCTTTGGGCTCATACCCTCGCATTTTCACAATCAGATCTGAACTATAGAAAACATGGTCCATGTGAATAAATGACCTTTTTTTTTTTTTCAACAAAAGCAATTTGTGAATAAATAACTCGATTGTCAAAAAAGTATCGATGAGTGCTCATTGTTGCTTTTGCCCAGAAACTTGATACAATTAAATTCCAGAGTTTGTATTGAGAAAGGACCCGCAAGTCTTACAAGCGTAATGAGCAGCCATCAAGTCGAGCCAGTTTTATATTAGTATCATCTGACTTAGCCTGAAAATATGCCTATTTTACTGTACAAAATCAACTATCAGGATTTAGGAAAACACTCGTCGAATGATAAATAACCGTCAAAAGTAATAAGCCCGTGATTATGTGATCATTTGATGAGATTTCGTTTGTTTACAGAAGTCCTACATTTCTAATCTAATCGTCAATGGTCATCATTATCTCCCAGAACGTATTCCATTCCAACTGCACGCAACTACATGAAATAGAAAATCTTAAACTTTGTGCAACAACCCAGCTCTTCTCGAGGGCAATTTGTTTTACCTGAAAAAAAATCTGGATTCGGAGCAAACGGAATGAAATACTTATCCTTGTAAATTATTATGCAGAAGGGCCATGCAATTTGCAATGGCAAGCAGAGACAGAATCTGAATACATAAGTTGCATTTCGTTATTTAACTGTCATATAATGGATAGACGGAACTCCTCTTTGGATGTTCTCATAAAAATTGCCAAATTAAGGCTTCCCTTGTCTTACTTTCCTTTCTTAGGAAAAGAAAATAAAAGCAAAAGGAAGAGTGGCAGTAAGGAAGTTTAGAGGCAGCATAGATATAAACATTGTAGGAAATTGAACCCATCACAGCTCCACCAGGACTAGGTGGGGAGTGGATGTAAAAGCATCATATTAGTGGCAATATATGTGCATGCATGACTTTGTCACGGTGATACTTAAAGAACCTCCCACTCAGATTCAGAGATATTTGGAAGATTTGGTTTCTTATGATCCCCTTCTGCACAAGCTGCTTCTGAATCCTCCACACAGTTTCCTTTGACTTTCTCTCTGTTCCCATGCCATGCTGCAAGCTGCTCATATTCTTGCTTCCTTCCAGACTTCTTACCTAAGCTAAATACCCGCCTCATCTTTTTCTTCAAAAAATAGATAATAGTAATAATCAGTTAAAGAAGGGATGCTAGAGAGGGAGGGAGGGGGGAGGAGAGAGAGTACCTTGTTAGTCTTTGGATTATCCCCTGCCATAGGGATTGATCTGAGTTCATCTCCACTCACCATGACACAAGATTGGTCGAGCTTCAGTTCATCATCCTTTTCCATGGCTTCAGGGCCCTTTTCTGTCACAAAATCAATTTCGAAATTCCAGCCATCTGGAATTTCTTGAAGTCTTAATATTAGATAAAGCGGCATAAGAAAAATATGCAATCAAATAACTTCATATCTGTTTAAATATCCATGCATGTAGAACACAATATAAGCAGCAGCAGCATATATTGGTACACCAATCAGTCAGTCTCCTAAATCATTGTGCCATTGTTCAGGATACAGAGATGGCACCCAGGCTGGGGTTGTTGGTGATTAAATAATGCCCAATGGAGGACAATGTTAGTGGGCATGATATCTCATACCATTGTTAGTAGATGACCCCATAGAAGTAAGCATGACAGAGATGGATCTGTACGGGAAGTTGATAGATGTGCGTCATTAAGATATGTCCACCCTCTGATATGGGTTGTGTTAGAATCCAATTGCAAGATATGGGACTTGATGCCCAAACTAAAACCATGGGATTTTGACGTCAGATTTACAGACTTTGGGCTCTCCAATGTTACAGGCTAGCTTTCAGGGTATGTTTCTCCCAAGGCTTCAAGCAGGTTGTCAGTTCAAGTTGACGGTGGTAAATCTCTGACTATCTTTTATGGCTGGCTGTGTTTGCCATTTAAAGGGATGGGTTAAACATGATGCATAAAAGGTGATAACACTTTGACAGCAAGTGTTGGGAGAAATTCATATCAAATAGAAATTTAACTTTCCCAATATCTTTCTTAGCCATGTAAGTTGTGCAGCACATAAAAATAAGAAAATTCACATAAAAAACATTTTGCTGTATTGTTCATATTTTTTTTCATATGTGACCTCTAGCTGTAACCTCAGTGAGAGAAATCTGAGATAGAAAGAACAATGACAACGCAAATACGTTTAAGAAGTTGGGGCAAAACTTTCTTTATCTGCCTGAGCCAAATTTTATGTGTATATAATGTAGAGAGAGGTAATTTGAATGAGTTGGATACTTTATTTGATGTGAATAAGTTACTTCTTAGGAGGGGGTTCACCATTTCACGAAAGAATAATGTATGTTGTTCAAAGAATTTTGCAATCTTTGTGTCTTTTCTCCAATTTCACAAAGTGAAGTAGGACAGACCAGTAAAAACTACTATTATTTTAAGCCCTAAAGCCTCTGCCTCACTTATTAGACATTGATTCCTGCATAAAACAATCCCCATCCGATTCCCCTTTTTTGGCCAACAATCCTTGTCCAATTCCAAGCAAAGACCTCCACATATGAACACATGAAAAGAATGATGATACAGCTTTCTAGAGAATCCATCCAAAGTATGCCTACGATACTGTGTGCTGGCAATGACTCTTACTGTTAGTCTTAAAACACACTGTCTCTCTAGCTTCTAAAAATTTCAATGTGATCCCCCTAGATTATCAGAAGTTCTCCTATTAAGTGTTTGGCAACCCTCAAAAGTGCTTTAAAAAGCACTTTTCCGCTAAACGAGACAAACTCCTCCACATATTTACTTCATGAATCATAAAAGTACTTTTAAAACCATGGTTTTATTTCCACCCAAACACCTCCTAAGAGTGATACAGCTTAGTACCTCCGCCTCATACTCTTTTTGAACTAAAACCCCCAATGTTGCATTTAGTGCTACAAAATCAGAAGATGTTGTTCTACCTTTCATATCAGATATAACAGAGGGGCAAAGCTTAAAACTTCTAAGAAACTTTAAGGATCTATCTTATATACTCAGAATAATATAAAGAAAATAATTAAATTGGTGAGTAACACGATAAAACTAGAGGATTCCTGTAGAATTCTCAGATGATACTGAGTGAGAATTCTTTTGTTATGATATTCATGCACCATAAGACACAACAACCGGCAATAAGATATAATTCCAGAAATTCAACAAAAGGTGGTCTATACCCCCGTGGAATACGCATTAATATCTGGATGAGATAGAATGACTGCACTATCTGAACAATAATCAGACTGTAATTCTCTTTCCGTAGCAGAAAATACGATAAACAATACACATAATAGTTACGTCAGAAGCCAATACCAAGCAACCAGCAGCAATGAGGAGAAATATGAGGAGGGGGTAAATAGAGAAATCATCTGCAAGGATACTCACCATTTAGTTCTCCAGATTGGACACAAGAGGAAGAAGGGCTCACATTCATCTCATTTTCATCAGCAGGTTTATTATCAAATGTTGGAAGATCAGGGATCTCTTCAGAACTTTCATTTTCACTACAACAATCTGAAACCAAGTCTGACAGTTTTACTACAGCCGAGGATTGATTGGAAATGGTGGTTGCAGGACAAAAAGGCACATCATGATTTTCATTTAAAATGTTACTGGACAACGTCCTGCATGTTTCTATTTCTGTTTCAGTTGAAGTAATTCCGTCCACTGTCCTGGCTAGAGCAGGGTTTGATCTGATATTTGTGCTCCTAACACGTTGTCTTGCATGTGAATTAAATTTGTTCACTTTGAAAGAGTTGCCAGGAGCTGATGTCAATAAAACATCAGTGTTGCAAGATTTTTCATAAGATGTAGCACAGGTGACATCTTCATCAACGTCCTGATTGATCCTTAAATTCTTGCTTATTTGCTTGATATCAACCTTTGAAGGTCTTTCCTTGGGACCCATAATTGTCTTCTTATGGACCTCAACATTAGTGTCATGATCTATAGGAGAATCAGACACAACTTTTTCATTCAAATCACAAGAAGGGGGCAGCAAGTCTTGCATGACATCTGCATAGAATTTTTTAACACTTTCCCCAACAGTCTGCACCTGATTCTCAAAGTATTTAACAGTGTCCTGTCCCAAAAAGAAAAAGAAAAGGAAAGAAAAAAAGGTTTATAGTGGATTAGATACCGTAAATTCATGGCAGGGCAGCAAATCATTAGCTTTATAAACCAATTCAACAGCTACTGCTAAAAAGTTCAAATAGATAGAACTAAGCTTCCTTAAAGGTTACATTAAACTCCCATAACATGACAAATGATACGTATAAAGACCGTACCAATGATTAATGACAATTAAAGGAAGAATACCACAGATATCTAGCTAAATATGAAGCCTTCGCCACTATTAGAGGAGATGCACATATTTTAGTTCAAGTTTCTAATGACATTTATTATAAGAACTCACAAATCTACTAGAGAAATTTGACCATCCCTCGCTGGAAGCTTAAGTGGCTATAAGATAGGCTAAAGCTAAATGGACAACAAATGCATACCTCATATATCATTTCTTCCGCTTCCAGGCACATATTTTCAAACTTCTGGTATATATTCCCAACCCAAGTTATGCCTTTTACTTCCATCGTGACCATAATAACCTAGCTGGAATAATGAACAAGGTGATGATCCTACCGTTTGAACATCAGGACGTTATTAGCTGATTATCTTCAAGATGATAATGCACACACAGATACATTATACACACACAATAGCGAAGCAGAAGTGATGGTGGTCAACTTCATATGCATAAATCGGCATTTATCAGATAGTACAATTTCTAAAGATATAAAATGGCTTGCAGATATGTTCAGTCCTAGAACACGTTTAGGTTCAAAAAAACATTCTTTTAAATACAGGGAATTAAAAAAAAAAAAAAAGGTTATTAATTAATCATGTGAAACTCGAAAACCCAACTCCCCATTCCCAGTTCCCACCAACCAACAACTTGACCAGCCCATACAATCTTGTAAAGCCTAAACCGAACCAGACCTTCATGCAGTTTACCAAACAAATACCAAATTTTTATGCTTCTTTTTAGAGAGCAGTCTAGAACTGCAAACATCCTCTCCCCTGCCTCGATAAAAGGTAAAAACAAAAGATGAAATGAGAACTTTCAAATTTTCTTAATCAAAATTGTCATAGAAAGGCTTGGGAGAAGCTTAAACTTGCCTAAGAACAGCCATAATTAAAATAAAAGACCCCACCAAAATTCAATCAGAGAAAACAAAAAGGCATACAGCCCCATATATATTAACCGAAAAGGAAAGAGCTTGTGGTCAGAAAACAAAAACCCAGTTCCGATATTATTACTCGATAAACTAAAGGGTGAAAAATAATGAAAAACACCAGGGTTTTGTTTCATGGAAAGTTCAGAACTTACTTGCTCTGAGGAGGGAGGAACACCCAACGCCACCAAGCTGAAAGAGCCTTGCCCAATTCAATTAAGCCTTTAAACTTTAAAAGGACTAGAGGCTCGATATTTAATTCGATAACAAAACAAGAGGTAAAAAAAGATCAATAAAAAAAACAATTATATCAGGACTTCGGAGTTTGGAGGCGTTCTCCGAGGAGAGAAGGAAAGGAAACGTATGGAGTGAAGACTCAGCGGGAAGCGTATTATAGCCATACGATTGACACGTGGATTCCGATGCCTAGCTACCTCGGCTCATCCCGCCACTCGTCGCACACTTTTCCGGTGTGTGGGTCCCGTTCCCTCGGTGGTTTCATAATTCTAGAATTCGGCTTTTTTGTTTTCTTTCTGTTGCCTTTTTTGGGAATGGTGGGACCTATTTTAACAGTGGATAAATCAATTTGTGAGGTGGTCCAGTGAGATGTTGTTATAATATTGATAAGCCTTCGATTTTATTTTCTCCACCTGCCTGGTGTGGTACACTCGTACTTCGGTGGTTTAGTTTTAATTCGGTTTCATTTTTAAAATCTTAATCCTTTCTCTATTTCTCCTTCAGATATATGGTTTATAAAAGTGTAATTCATTTCTCTTTTTATAGAAAACTCACCATTAAATTGTAATTTGTAAATAATTAAATCGTGAAAGTAATGTGCTTAACAGTTACTCGAACCTAAATTAAAAAATTGATAAAAAAATATAAATTAAAACATATGTATAATACTATGCAAAAACAATATATGCAAATTGAATCTCGAAAAGATTCATTGGAGCCAATAAATAGTTGTGATAAACAAATAATAATATGCAAAACAATAAGCAAAGGAAAAGAAGAAAATCAGTGTAATCTTGATTGAGGACAGAAATTTCGCTTTCAACAAATCGTAGATTGGGTATCTATTATTGTTAAACCGTTTGCCTTGTGTGAAAAATTAAGTTCACCTTATTTAAAGAAGGGGAAAGTTTATAGCGTGATTTCAATTCATATATAAATCCGAAAGCATACCTGATTTTAGGTAAGCTTTTTCCTGGGATTTGATGTTTTGATTCCACTACCTTATTATTCAAACAAGTGAGAAGCATTTGGCAGTTATATATTTCACACCAGTTGATTTAATGTCAGGCAATGAGATTTTTTATTTAAAAAAAAAAAACCTCAAGAACTATGGTGACTGCAATACATTGAAGAAAAATTTTCTTTAGGACGAGTGAAAGTTGAAACTTTTATTGTTTCTTCGGGTCTATTCATTCTTTTGTGATGATATTTGTATATCGAAAATTTTCAGAGTCTTTACAGATATTTTTATTGATTGTACTAGAAAAGAAGTTTGTAGCATCATTTCATTTTTTTCATCATCCCCTCGACAGGGGAATGATGCTTCTTGATTATTATGCTGTTAATTTCTCACGAACCCTGTGGATTGCAGGGGATATTTTGCAGCTACACCGATATGATGAACTTTGTGCAAAAAAATTGTAATAACAGAATATGCTTTTATTTTTAAAAAAAATATTTAGATGAAAACTAAATAATAGTTTTAAAAATAATTTTACGATATACAAAATAAACATGAAAAAAAATTTATGTCAAATAGTAAGTTTTATGAATATGGGTTGATACATGTAAAAGGGGACCCGTGCCTGCAGTTCACCAGGTATTAGTTTGACTTTGAAGCAAGAAACTTGTATCGTCCAATTTCACAGTCTTGAAGTTTTGAACTCCCGTATTTAAAGTTACTTGCAATCAAGCTTTAAGCTTATATGGTTCGATTATTAGTAGGCTCTTCCACCTCCTGAAATATCAACCTCAATTGCCAAAAAGCCTTTTTTTTTAAAAAAAAATTAATTTTACGAACGAATCTGAATTATGGGGAAAAGCCACGCCCCATGAAATGGATACACATATTCTTGCAAGTTCTTGTCCTTCTATCATCTTCAATGAACAAATAAATATATGAATGATTTATAATAAAATAAATATATAAAAATATTTATTAATTGTAATCCCCAGTCTCTTTATCAAGTCTCCTGGATTGGGTTATCCAACATCCACCAAGTTGGATAACGAGCACCGGTAAGCCGCAACGTAGATAGCTTTGACGTACGGCTACCACAAAGCATATTGCCGTCCGCTTCCACAGTTTGTCTTCTCGTCTAGCTTTCTGTTTCCTTGTGCCTTTGTTTATCTTCAACAATTCATGGGAACGACGCAACAAAACCATACTAAACGATCAATTCGACCCTTCCATTTCCAAATAAGTATATGGATGGATTCTTGGAAACTTTGTTTGCTCTAGAAGAATACGGGAGAAAAGATACGCGTATTCAATATCTGAGCAGAGCACAATCATACTTTGTGTTATGTACCACAAAACAATCCCTCAATTTTACACATTCCTTGTAACCATCAAAGATTCGAAACGTACGAGATAAACGTATAAGTGCTGGAACACAGACATGTTAGTGTGGTCAACAAGGTTAACCAGCTGTTTGAAAGTCGCCAAAATCATCATCCGGTATATCCTGCTTGCTCTGATTTTCTGGAACGCTCATATGTTCTTGGTCTTCTTTGTCTACTTTACGCGGCTCATCTCTGGGAGCTTTCTCAGGGCTGAAATTTGTTGGAGACTTCTGTAAGGCAGCAGTAGGAGATGCTGGGGGTGGTGGGGGTGGTAACTTAATGCTAAGTGGTTTAGATTCTTTTGTATCAAATTTTTCTTCTGAGGTGCTGCTCTGACCCTGCTCGAGCAACTTGGATTTTATATTGTGGCCACTTTTCTGCAGACAACAACAAAGGATCACACATTGATCATGATAGTCATCAAAAAAAGATTGCGCCTGAATAACCATAGGATGAAGATTCCAATACATTCGTCTTAATTTGCAGTTTGAGAGTCTCTCCTTCTTTTAAACTGTAATCAACTGAGGAAGTTTGCTGGAAATGTTGTTCCATCTCTTCTGCTTCTTTCTTCTTGTTTAGATATCTTAAAAATAATTTAGGAAAATACATGCTTTCCTTTTTATGAGAAACAGTGTCAGGTATTCATTCCCAGTGCCACTGAGGGGGAAAATGCAAGAAAAATACCAGGCAAATCAGATAGATAAGAATAATTATAAATATGTTCAGGATACTTCATATGGTCATGCAAGGCAGCTTGAAAGTCATAAGCCTCTGTTCTTTCTCGGAATCCTATACCAATGAAGGCATGCCGGAGACGGCCACCTATAAGATTTCCAATTGTTAAGGATCAAATTTGAAAATATAAAACTCGAGCGTAGAGAAATACCGCATTGGATTTGCGGAGTCAAAGCTCACAAGTCTTTCAACTACTATACCAAAAGGGGAAAGGTACACTTATGCAAGGCAAACATGCAGGGGCTAAAAGTAAGAAATTAAGATGATTGATTCAATCTATATATATGAAACAGAACTAAAAGACAGTTCATAATAGATAAATAGTAAATTCACTGCTAATCAAAGAGGAATTTGTTGACCATTCTTATTCAAGTCAGAGGCCTCTCCGAATCTGTTGTCCCCAGGATGCAGACCACATAATTCACAGTAATCATTAAATTATTTCGTTCTTTTGACATATTATTTGTTCTCAACTCAAATCACTAACCTGTAATGAATTTGGGAGATTACACATGCAAAGGTGTCACATTTCTGAGTCTCGAAATATTGACCATTTCCAAGCCATATGTCAATTAATTCAAAAGGCCTCAGAAGAGGATGCTGATACTTGGACTCACAATCTTGAAATAACGTCAACATGTGGATGCACCATTCATGAGTTTCATGATCATCTAGTGTATATTTAGAAAATACAAAGATTACTTCGATAGTGAAAGCGCAGCTGTGAATTATGGACCGCACAACTAAACACCTTCCTTCTCCTAAAGTTACATTTATGATCTACCCAGTATCAGCGCCACTGCCGCCCTTTCGCAGGACTTAGACCTAGTCCTATCTTATGGGGCAACTTTGAGGACTGTTTCAGAAATATGCTAGCAATTACATGTCTGGAAACTATCTCTTAGAAGGAATCCCATCTTCTATTTAAAATGTCAGATAAGGCAGCTTCTGGCAATGCGTCAGCAATATGCGAGCCAGCATCTTTCCAGAAACCATCTCTTAGGAGGACAATATTTCTACAGAATAAGCTAAATTCTTGATAACTTAATATGATAATTTTCTGTCTACTTTGAGCTAGGAGGAAAAGGAAATCACTGAAATGATTGCACATTATACTTCCGCAGTCTGTTGGACTTCAATTCAAAAAACTCATCCAACAGTTTCTTATGTTATCATGATATGTTTTCTTCCTTTTCAGCTCCTTTTCCTCCCACGTGTGTTGCCTTTATTTCTTTTGGGGGGATATTTTTTCTTCCTCAGCTCTTGCACAATACGAACGAAGAAAAAGAAGCAAAGCAAAATTTAGATTGGGGGCTCACCTATGTTCTCTTCTATGCGAAGAACAAAATACCTGCAAAATAGAAGTAAGCGTCAAGAAGCAGAACACCACATGATTACAACTAAAAGCAGATAATAACAGTCTTACATACCTGCTGCTGTCAATGACAGGCTCCACAGGATGTGGCTCTCCATTTCTTAAAAATGCCCGAGCATATAGTTCACCTGATTAAATAAGGAATTTTTTAAATGTCGTAAACACCAAAAGAAATGAAAGAGGAATTAAATGTATGATCCTATTAGAGCAGCTCAAGTATAATCTTACCTGTTTTCCTATCTTCAAGTTTTATAATGCATAGTTCTCCCTTGCTAACGACTTTCAATGTCCCTTCCCATGCCCATTTGTTCACATCCCATTCATCGGCCCTGAAATAATTTCATAAGCAAATATTGATACGGGGTACTTGTTCAATTAGTAATGGAAGCACTGAGTCACTAAACTATAAAGAGTTTAAACTCAATTGCTTCGTAGAAGATAATTTTATAAATGTCTCGAAATACAGCAGTCATCAGATGGAAGTTCCTGGACGCTGAAAATGTTGGCTTTTTTTCGACCAAGAGCGAGCTAGAAAGTAGAAACTCAACAGATCACAAGTATAGCAGATCAGGAGTCACAATTTAAAGTTAAGCAGAAACCTGTAAGAAGCTGCGCTCTTCCTGGGGGGAATCTGCACACATTGGAGTAACCGTCAGCTAGACATTACAGATATTCCAAAATTCAATATTTCAAGTCATCCATCCCAGCATGAGAGTAAAATTAACTAAAACAAATCTCAAAATGTATTGCCCCCAGACTTACTGAATTGGCGTAAGCTTTATTAATAATACCATATCAATTCGGCAAAAATACATGAGAGAGCGATGGGGATATGATGCAGATTTTGATTCTGAGCTCAAATATCAAACTTGATCCTTTGAACTCATTTCATTGAAAATTTAATTTTCATTTACCTATCACAATTTTCAACTAGACCAATTCACCACTACTAAATTCTGAACGAACACATCAACAAGCTTGAAATTGCAAGATATGCTCAATGTTTTTGGTTTTCAAAGATGATCTGTGAGTTATACTTACTATATATACGTAACATTCAGACACTTGAAAGAGAACAAGCTCTATGGCCTCATCAATCTGTTCGCTTTCGTCTCCAGTTTTCTGAATGTCAGATTTCTCCTCTTCCTGTGCCATGATTGACGGAAAGAGAGAGAAAAAGACTGCAGATTTCAAGGCAGCAAGTAGAACGACAGATAAATCAGAGGAAGGCCTTGGCGGAAGGAATCTAATTTTGTTTGAAATAGGTTGCGAGTTGGTTTCGACAGAGAGAAGACTCAACAGAACGAAGGCCGTCTCAGCTTCCCTCTCTCAGGCAGAAACGACGCAGCAACAAGAGGCTTCTGAGTAAGAGCAATAAGGACCGTCGGATGAGAATACTTTAGTAACGCACGGTTCTGAATTGTCCCAACGGGTCCCCTCGTTAGGACTACAGGGTCTTTTGACTTTTCCTCCTGTTTGTCAATTTAGTTTCATGGAAAAAAAATTAAAATAAAATAAGATTGAATGATATATTTAGAAAATAGAAATTTCTATTAAATAAATCATATGGTAATACTAACCCTTAGAATATACATATTTCTTCTTAAAAATAATACTGAAAATTTTAATTATGAACGTTAATTTAAATAGGAATTAATTTACATAAATTTGTTAAATGATTTTCATCTTCGAATTTTTTTAAAAGAAAATCATAATTGTGGATTTGCAGTGTACCTTGAATTCTGTTCATTAATTCACTATTTTTTTTTTACATATATATTCATATTTACATGATCACGTTATAGATTCGTCTTCACAAAAGGACAGTATTCAAGTCAGGAAGAGCAGAAGAAAGATTTCTTATTATTTCAGCATATATAATCAAGTTTACATGGCAGCAAGGCACATGACACCAGTATCTTCCATCAATCGATTGCTCAAAGAAAACTCATGCTTACGAGGAACTCTAAAATTCCTCCCATGTATACAATAAGCTCACCACAATTCTCCCACAGAGAATGATGAATTGAATACAGAAATCCTTCTCCTCTTCCTCATTCCTAAGAGGTCTTGTGAAGCAGAGAATCTGTCAACCACAGACTTGAGAGCTTGCTGAACAGAACCAGCAAGAAACTGCCTATACTCAGAATCTTCAATGTTGTTCTCTTTGCAGCTTATAATCACAAACGCATTCTTCATCCTTCCTCCCAAGGTCGCAATTTCTGCGTTCATTATCATCAGATGAAGAGCGTCAAGTGCTTGTCTTATATCAGACAATAACCCAGGTTTATACTCACAACACAGAGATGCCTTTATTGAATAAGGAAATCCATTAGAGCCACCTTCTTGTTCTTCAACTCTTATCTCATCGCTGTCCTTTGGTATCATCAAACCTTCACAAGCTTGTGCTGCATTCCCTTTAAGCTCTTTCAAGTGTCTGATCACCTCAGCAAGTAACGATGCTTTGTCCATCTATGGGTTCATAATCAATAATCATACCACAAAAACAAATACTCAGATTTTAAACCAACAGGAATATTGAAGAAAATTGATAGTCGAGAAGGCAATATTGTAGCAACCGACCTTGTTAGCACCTGGAATTACTGTGCGAAGAGTATCAAGATGAGCATTGATCCTTGCTCTTCTCCTACGTTCCGCCTCGCTATGATTCTTCAAAGCGGCGACGCTTCTCTCAGAGGACAAGCCCTTGTTTCGTTCTTTGACAGAAGCCTCCACGAGCTCACCTATCTGGTCATCCAAAACCAGAGACGAAGATGAAGCAAACCCACTTTCTATAATACCAGAATTAACTATAAAACCATGACTAGTTTTCTCTGAGGCATTTCCCCAAATGCCTGAACCCCAATCAAAACCTTCCATTAAGTCACTCCTTTCTGTGAGTTCCATTACAAGAACAAGGCAGAGCCTGTGCTCGCGGGAAGAATTTAACGAAGAAAAGGGAGTGGTTTCTTGCTTGCCTTATTGGGTTTGGACTGGAAGATGTAGTGAAGTGGAGAATCAGAGGGAGTCAGAGAGAGGATCAGGAAAGTACTAATATTTCCTGTTTAGGTGAGCTAATAGTCAGAAATGCTGGGTTTTAAATAGCACAAAATTTTCGTCTCGTTCGTTTTAAATTATAATCGCAGATGTAACTAAAGTACAAATTGGTGTCTCGTGAGTGCAGGATGAAACCTCAATCCTCCCTTCTCGAAATATTCTTTATTCAAATATAGCGTCAATCTCGTGCCTAAAAATTGGGACATCAGATTCAAAACAATCCATCCCCGCAGAAACCAGACAGTATTCTTCTCTATAAAACTAAGTAAACGAAGAGAAAACTCAGTGGTCCATGTGGTCGGGGTTTAGATTTTTCTGATGTCTCAAAGTTTCACCCTTTAATGTTTGTTAGTCAAAATCCCGGTCAGTTTAATCGAACAAATCTTGTTCACATTCATCCGACAAGCCAGTCCAGAAAATTGTCGCTTAAAATAAGCGCTCTCTCTTCGAAGTCGAATCAGCAAATGTTGATTTGCGGAAAATTTTAGGATATGTTTGTTTGATTGTGCAAATAAAAGCAAGAAGAAAAAACAGTTAAACAAATTTTATGATATTTGTTACATTTTTATTATTATTATCATCATCATTCAAGGTATTGGGTATATAATTTTATGAAGAGTTGTGCTAATAATTTTCAACAAAATTTTCTCTCACTCTCTCTGATGTTTTTTTAGGACTTTATGCATCATATCATACACACTTTTATTTATAATTATAATTATCATTATAATTACGGGCTTCAATTTTATTACCATGGAAGATGGAACCCCTATTATTTGAGCGTGAAATCTGGAACATGATATGGTAGTACTCCATTTTATCTCTCAAAGACCGAACAGGCGGTCAAAAACTGATTTTCCTTCTTTTTTTTAAATTTTCTCAAAACTCAAAATCATATTATTTTGCTATTTTACTTAAATTTTAGTTGTTTATTTATATATATATATTTGATGATTTGTTAGTGATCATGGAAGTTTATGCCAGTTTAGTTGAACAAATGATATTGCATACTTAATGATTTTGGATTTTTGGTGATCTGTAATAGATAATAAATATTATAAGTGGGGCATGTTTGAGATTGTTAAGAAGAAATATTACTGGAGACATATATCAATCTGATCATTGATATAAATAACTTGTAATTTATTTTCACATACCAATAAATTTATTAAATTGAATTTTTTTAAAAAGCTCCTGTTTAAAAAAAATTCTTTCTCTACGTTTACAAATCATTCTTACATATTTATCATTTTTATTTTTGTAATGAGAATTAAATAAGGGTAGAATTAAAAAATAATTTTGAAATACTCTACAAATAGTTTATATTTAGGATTAACAATTTTTCCTATAGGTGACTTGTGCAAGGATAAAAGTGGTAGACTAAGAACATGTGTCCTGGTGTCCAAGTCATTACCCACAATCATCACTGATAATGACCGAATGCTAGCACGAAAGAGGGGGAGGGAGAGGAAAAGTGGGTTTTTGGGTTTGGTGGTCACGATTCGGTACAGGATAAGCACAAGCTTTTGGGACTTTACATAACCCAAGGAACGGGTTCTCTCATTACCCAACCACCCACTGAGACACACAGACTTTGTGGGTTAAAAAAAGACTAACGAGTAATGACAAATGATGGTTTATGCCACATTGAGAAGAGAATCTTTATTATCTTTTACACACACACACACATATATATATATAGAGAAAGAGAGAGAGAGAGAAATAGTCATTGTTAGTGGCCATGTAGCAATATAAAACAACAAACGGGAGCAATGAGGGGGATCTATTGAGATCTCCTAACAAGAGTAGTTAATTGAGGATATTTGGGTTTTTGTCCCTTCCACGTCCGCAACGCACACTATTCTTGAATTTTCTTTTGGAATGGTTCGCACAAACTCATGGGAAAACGTGCCTCTCTTTTTCTTCTCCTTCTTCCTTTTCTTTTGTTTTTTCTAAAACAGCTGAGGATTCAACATTTTGCCATGTTCATACCATGGAAAGGCCACTTCTCGGTTGATTCTCACTTCCTTTGCACCTATGAGCCTGCTCCTCACTTCTTTTGTTTTATTCCCCTGCCTATGTCTACCCGTTATACGTCCTTCCAATCACTTGGATTTCCCATTGATTAATCACTTCAATTAATCGCCCAAATTCCTAAGATTTTTTTTTTTCAAATACTCTCTGTTTTCCTTATTAAGCTGATACAACACTAGATGCCTAGTCCAATACTACCGGCACTTCTCTTAATTTTTTTTTAAAAAAAAACATGAGGTCATGAGTTACTATTAATATACATCAATATATAACAAAACAGGATTGTTAGTGCAAATAATACAAGAATTCACAAAACTGAGGATAGTTGTTGGATTCAACAGAATTAACCTTCCAATTACTCTTATCAGAATTGATGGATTTGCTTTCTTGCACGGGCAGAGCCTCGTTATTGAAAGGAAAAAGAGAAATTAAAAAGTTTCTTGAAAAAGGAAAAAAAAAAAAAGAGAGAGAAAGATTATTGATGTAGGGCCTCGTATTGGCCTTTTTTCACGTAAGAAGCTGGGTGGGTTTATGGAAGCCACTTCTGAAGGACACGACAACAATGGATCGCTCACCAGCTGCCCTGTTGGCCTAATTAAGGAAACTTATTGTCTGTCTCGGTTCCAGGCCCACATTTTGGGCCTTACTTCTTCTTTTGGGCTCAGTTTTATATCATCACCATGAAACTCTCTCTCTAACTTAAGGTGAGTACCCACCATACCCAGATGCGCGACGCGGGTCGAATCCGAACGTAGTCAGGGCAAAGCTCTGGTGAACCAGGTAGGGAATCAAAAAAAAAAAAAACTTAAGGTGAGTATAACCAACGAGGTTGGGTCTAGCAGAAGAAGTTAGTCTCTCACAACGTGACGAACCAGTATTCAAATTTCTATTGAGAGAGGCGCTCACATTTAGTACCCAACAGTGCCTCAAATAAGATTACTTCCAATAGGAAGATACCTATACTTTAGTGAAAAAAACTCAAGGTGAGTATGTGAAATTCTGAATTTCTTTTTAAAATGAATTTCTGATTCTACTAGTAGATATACATATAACTGTATATTTATAATTTAGTCGTAAATTTATTATAGAAATAATGCAGTCTGAAAAAAAATCATGGCAATAATATAAAATGAATCCTTAGTTTGATAATTAATTAGAAGACCCGTAAGTAGACCAAAAGACATCAGCTTTATCGCAAGAGGCTGTGCCTTTGACCACTTGAACATGAAGCTGATCTCCCTTCTTATTTTCACTACTTAATCGACAAGCTCCACGAACACATTTCTTTCCGCATAGATCTCATTATCTTTATTTACCTGTTTTAGTTGGATTTCTCCGTTATTTCTAAATATGCATCATGTTTCAGATTTTAAGGTATGAGTATTACTACTATTTGTTTATAATAATACTCCTAGAATATATAATGCAAGTAGTCGAGATTTCAAATAATGTCTTGTTATATAAAAGACAAATCTAAAAATTTAAAATATTTTTTTAAAAAACAGAATCTGCATATTTTGCCCGCTTTTTTTTTTTTTTTAACAATGAAAATTCATTACTAAAAGTAATAGTACAATGAACAACCAGCAAGGATACGGCTGGCTGGGATACAAACAAGCAAAACCATCCTATACCAGAGCAAACAATAGAAACATCACCTCCAATACAGCTATGGTCATTCCTAATATTGAGACCATCAGAGTCCAAAATCCGCTGAAGATTCCATGGCGCCATTGCTGGCATTCCATTGGAACCCACCCCTTTCTTTGCACATAGGGGTGGAAACAGGCCAGGCTTTACGCCTAACAGGCCAGGCCTGTATTGAAGCTTGTTGGCCTGAGCCTGGCCTGTGGCCTGTGACAGGCCTTATATTCAGCCTGAGCCTGGCCTGTGTAAAAGCCTGGCCTGGCCTGAAGCCTGTTAAGAAGCCTGCATTTTTTTAAAAATATTTTAAACATATTTAAATCAACTCAACATTATAATAACTCAATCCAAATTATATAAAATACAAACATAAAATTATCTAAAATATTTAAGTGAAAAATATTTAATATTCAAATGGTAGTATATTATTTTGTTGTTCATGTTTCAAATTATATTATTTAAGTGAAAAATATTTAATAACTTGAGGAGAAGATGTAGTTAAAATGGTCACAATACAAGGGATAAACAGAAATCAAATTCATAGAGGGGTTATTTCTATTGTCAATTGTTGGTGATGTGCGTTAGAAAAACTAAGTAGTTTTGTATAGGTAAATAAAAGTCAAAAATGACAAACACGAAATCATCATCGGGCAGTAGGATTTGAATGAATAACAAAGTGCATATTATAGAAATCATCATACAAGGTATATTGAAGAGTAATCCAAACATGGTCTTATTCAGGATAAAAGTGTGGTATTAGGCATATTACAATATTAATCAAAACATGGTATTATTTTAAAAAAGTTAATTATAAATTTATAATTATAATATTTTAAAAAAAATATAACAGGCCCAAGCCGCCTAACAGGCTTAACAGGTTTATTAAAAAGCCTGGGCCTGGCCTTTTAAGAGAAACATGCCTTTAAAAAGGCCTGAGCCTGTTTTAATTTGGAAATAGGCCAGGCCACAGGCCCCTGACAGGCCGCCTGACCTATTTCCACCCCTATTTGCACAACCTGCTAGATAGCTAGCCGCACGGTTACCATGTCTGGAAACAAGCGCAAAGTTAGGTTGAGCTCTTGCCAATAATGTTTGTAACGAACAGCTTTAAAGAGGTCCTGACAATCAATTTCAAAATAGATTCATGGGCATCCGAAAAGCTGAGGAGGAGTGAGCACTAATCTCCTTTCCATCTCATGTGGCCCTCCGCACGGAATAGAAGCTGAACCACAAGGGTCAGAACGGAGTGAGTGTGCGGCGGCCAGCGATTTGGACCCCTCATGCGTAATCCACGTCACATATTTGTTTCTCTCTTTTGACCGTGAGAAGTAATAATACTAGCTCTGGTCCTTAATATAAGACTCTGTTTGACTTTTATATTGATTCTAAATATAAGACATCAATCTATTTTGTCTCTTATATTTACTCATTTTTTTAAGATGGTCCTTCTAATAATTATAGTTTTAGCCAACATACTTGATTAGTAAGGATATTTTAGGAAAGATAATACCTATTTATTACAAATAACTAACTAAACTTCTTTTCTTAATTTTTTCAAATTAGTCAACTGGCTCTTATAATTAAGACTGGAGGTAGTATTTAATTACAAATATCTTTACAAATTTAACACTGCTTATAATTTAAAGACGCATTCTTTAACTTTCACAGACTGAAAACATATTATTAGTACTTTCTATAATCGAAGCTTGTACATAATTCTGTCCTTAGAGATCACTTATTGTTATTTCTTTCATTTTTTTAAAACAATGGATACATTGCTATTTCACCCGCACCAAAACACAGTAAATAAGCGGTTTCTTTTTGAACCATCAATTATTTGTAGTTTTTATTCACCAAGAGATATTATTATATACTCTTTTAATTTTAAATGTAAGAAATAATTAATTAATTTATATATATTAAAAAAATCAGATAAATTACTTGTTTGTTAACAAGTTCTCTTAACCGTAATTCATAAATTTTTTTTTTACTAATTTTGTGTAATCCTCAAATCTTACATTTGATCAGCATCTTTTAACCCTGAAAAATGAAATATTAATCCACGTAACATAGATTTTTGGATGTTAAAGTCTCAGTAAATTAAAGCAAGACAACCCATTTTTTCAGCCGTAAACGGACTGCGGAGCGGGCGTTGTTGCTGTCCGGTGCACGTTAGCATTAACCCCTGTGTGCGCCCAGATATAAAAATCATAAACTCCTTTCAAGTGTTTCACTCGTTCTTCACAACCTAGTTTGCAGGCAACTCGGGCTTCTTCCACCATAAATGGCGGCTACAGGTTCTTACACCACTCCCATCTCCACTCCTTCCAAGACCCTTCCCGTCGTTAAAAGCTCCGTTGCCTCCAATCTCACATTCTCACCTTCGCCTTTCAAGCTTAGCTTGAAGTCTCTCAGGGTTAAGCGATGCTCTGGCCGTGGCTCCGCTCTCGGAGCTCAAATGGTTTCGGTTCCGACAATAAAAACCCCTGCTTCTCTTGATTTCCAGACCGATGTCTTCAAGAAGGAGAAGATTAACCTTGCTGGACACGATGAGGTATGTTATTTTTAGTTTCTATGGTCTTCTTCAAAATATCTGTTCTGTTCATTTTTCTCTTTTTATCTTCTGCATTTACGTTTTGGATTTCCGAAGGGTTTGGTGGAAATTGACTTAATTTTTGGTTGCTCTGTATCACTGCAGTACATCGTCAAAGGAGGGAGGGATTTGTTCCATTTGTTGCCGGATGCTTTCAAGGGCATTAAGCAGATCGGTGTCATCGGATGGGGATCACAGGTGTTTATTCTCATAAGCTGTTATTGAAAGAGCACACTTTTGACTCGAAATAATTATGTTTCTCCCTCAGCATGACGCAATCTTAATTAGCTGATTGAAGTCCTCGAAATTTTTTTTTTAAAAAAAGAGGAAAAATATGCCTTGTTATGTTATTGCTGAAAAAAATCAAGAAAGGAAGAAGGAAATCTCATTTGGAAAGGAAGTCGCGTTATACTCTGACAGCCAAATGTGCTAATGTTTGCAAATTTGCAGAGCACATTGACGTTGTTAACTCCGATGTTAGTAAACAATTATCTAACTGCTGTGCTGAACCGTTGTGCAAATGATTCATTGTGAAGTGTGCTGCGAGTCTTTTTGGAAGGAAAGCTAGGTTAGAGTACGAAGTGACTGCTGGATGCTTATCCTGATATCATTTTTATTTTTAGCTCTATATCATGTAGATAGATAATTAAATATACATGCTTAAGGAAATTATGAGTTGTCCCTTCTCTACCGCTGCTGAAAAGGCATCTTCGACATATTCAAGCAGTTTATGATTTTAACGTGTCTATTAACTGTGGATTACAAATACCAGGGACCTGCTCAGGCCCAGAATCTGCGGGATTCACTTGCTGAGGCAAAGTCTGATATTGTAGTCAAGGTGATTCCCGATATCATTTTTCATTTATTAAGTTCATTATCCTCTACTGCTACTGTTACATTGGTTGTCACATTTATGGGTTTTGCTTTCTAAAATTTAGATGACTGATCTCTTCTCAAATCCTACTTCATGACGTTTTTTATGAGTACAGATTGGACTCAGGAAAGGTTCCCGATCATTTGCTGAAGCTCGAGCTGTTGGTTTTACTGAGGAGAATGGGACTCTAGGTGATATATGGGAAACTGTCTCTGGCAGTGATCTTGTGTTGCTGTTGATTTCTGATGCTGCTCAGGTTTGTAAACTCAACGGGACACTAATCACAAGTTTTTCATTCGATTTTAAATTATTGTCTTCACAACAGTGTTCACATATTCTTACTAAGAATATGGCACTATGGTGTCTTGATTTGTGGACAAATACAGACATATCGTGAGTCATACTGCTGGTGACTTTGCAGTGTTCCTGATTGGTCAATAACTTCTGTTTTTAAAACTTATTTTGCAGGCCGATAACTATGAAAAAGTGTTTTCCCACATGAAGCCAAACAGCATCCTTGGGCTGTCTCATGGGTTTCTCCTTGGGCATTTGCAGTCACTGGGACTTGATTTCCCCAAGAATATCAGTGTAATTGCTGTCTGTCCAAAGGGAATGGGTCCATCAGTTAGGAGACTTTATGTCCAAGGCAAAGAGATAAATGGTGCTGGAATTAATTCAAGTTTTGCAGTCCACCAGGTGATCTTGCTTACTCTATTTCTTTATCAATACTTGTGGATTCCCTCACATAGTTATATTGTTAGTTGCTTTTTGTTGCTGGTGTTCACTACCTTATGATGCAGGACGTTGATGGCAGAGCTACTGATGTTGCTTTGGGATGGTCCGTTGCCCTTGGTTCTCCTTTCACATTTGCTACCACGCTAGAGCAGGAATACAAGAGTGATATCTTTGGAGAGAGAGGTAAGAGTACTTTTAGCTTTTGGTTGTCCTTGAATATTATTGGGTGCTGTTCACGGGGTTGTCCTAACTTTTTTTTTTTTTTCCTGTAGGAATTTTATTGGGTGCTGTTCACGGGGTTGTGGAGTGCTTGTTCAGGAGATACAGAGAGCATGGAATGGATGAAGATCTTGCTTACAAGAACACTGTTGAGTGCATAACAGGAATTGTATCAAAAACCATATCTACTAAGGTTGTATTCTCATGCTATCTTTCGGAGCTGGATTTGTCTATATGATCCCTCCATGCACCTTTTTATACAGGGGTATTTCTCACTAGTTCTATAACATTTTCTTTGTTCTTTTTATGGACAGGGGATGCTGGCTCTTTACAACTCTTTAACCGAAGATGGAAAGAGGGAATTTGAGAAAGCTTACAGCGCCTCGTACTATCCCTGCATGGACATCTTGTACGAGTGCTATGAGGATGTGGCTAGTGGCAGTGAAATTCGCAGTGTTGTTTTGGCTGGACGCCGCTTCTATGTAAGGACATATTCATTTTCTATGTGGATTATTGGATATCTAGGAGTTTGACTTTAATTATACTTGGGTTTTACAGGAGAAAGAGGGTCTACCTGCCTTCCCCATGGGTAAAATTGATCAGACCCACATGTGGAAGGTTGGTGAACGCGTACGATCTAAAAGGCCAGAAGGTGATCTTGGTCCACTCTACCCATTTACTGCTGGTGTCTTTGTGGCATTGATGATGGCCCAGGTATTTGGTCTTCACCATTTAGTTGCTGATCATGACAAAGGGGCATTTAGGCGGTTATTTTTGCCTGTAGAATTCTGTTTTTTCCCGTCTATATTTGCTGTTCAATTTGAAATCAAAATCTTTCTGTATTAATTTATGATTACGTAATTCAGATTGAGGTACTGAGGAAGAAAGGCCATTCCTACTCAGAAATCATCAACGAGAGTGTGATTGAGGCTGTCGACTCTCTAAATCCTTTCATGCATGCTCGGGGTGTTTCTTTCATGGTTGACAATTGCTCCACCACAGCAAGATTGGGCTCAAGGAAATGGGCTCCACGATTTGATTACGTCCTTCACCAACAGGCCTTGGTGGCAATCGACAATGCTGCACCTGTCAACCAAGATCTAATCAGTAACTTCCTGTCAGACCCAGTGCATGCAGCAATTGAAGTTTGTGCTGAACTCAGACCCACCCTAGATATTTCTGTGCCACCGAATGCAGACTTCGTTCGTCCTGAGTTGCGCCAATCCAGCAATTAGAACTTCAAGCATTGGCTGCTTCTCCCTGGTCAAGCCTTTTGATAATGAGCTATTGAGCTTAGAAGAGTAGTTGTCCTGTACGCGTGGTTTTGTTTTCATAGTTTAGTAGTAATGTGGAGAATGTATTGTCACTTTTGACTTAACGTTTTGATGATGAGGATTGGTGCTTACGCTTATTGTTCCACCAGATTTTTGTGGTAATAAATTGTGGCAAATATTTTGAATCTGGTGCATATCGTTGCAGTGCTCGAGACAAATTGGCGGCTGGCTGGTGGTGTTCTTAGGTATTGAAACGTGAGATCAGAGGCTGGCCGCTTTTAAAAAGTACTCCCCTCTTTTTTTAAAATACACATGTAACCAAATTATGTTGTTCAAAATATTGGTTAAAATTATTTGAAGACAATAAATCTGTTAAACATGTAACGTTTTTGTTCAAAAATATTCTCGATTATCTAGAAGAGGGATTTTGTATGGTGGATAGAGAATATGTGAAAATTAAATAAAATACTACTCCTCCGGTCCTAATTATAAGACCCAATTGACTTATTTGAGGAGATTAAGGAAGTAAGTTAAGTTGGTTATTTATAATAAATAAGTGTTGACATTCCTAAAATATCCTTGCTAATTAAGTATATTGGCTAAAACTATCATTATTAGAAGGATTATCTTGGAAAAAAATACATAAATATAAGAGACAAAATGGATTGGGTCTTATAATTAGGACCAAATAAAAAGTTAAATTGGGTCTTATAATAAGGACCGGAGGAGTATAAGTTATTAAATGAGTGTAAGTTAACAAGAGTAAGTTTAATTGATAAATATTTGGCTTACATTTGAAACTTGTGCGGTTGTTGGTTTGAATTCATATCCGAGGACTTTGTTAGTGGGTAAGTATTTTTATAAACACTTTGAGTTTAAAAATATGTCCTGATTTTGACGAGTTCTAAGACTGACTTATTTTAACTTTTGTGTTAAAATATACTTTTAGTCTTTTAAGTTTAACTTTACACAAGGTTTCAATTTAGTTGTTTAACTTTAAAAAGTATGTTTTTAATCTTTGTATTCCAAAACCATTAATAAAAAATTATAATATTGAAATCTTGAATATTAATAAAATATTGTCAATACTAATATATTAAGTTTAATTTTCAAAACAATTATAATTGTTATATAAAATCATTATTTAAAAGCAACGATTTTAGAGTTAAAGGACTAAAAATATATTTTTAAAATTAAGAGACCAAACTGAAACCTATTTATAAATATAAAGAACTAAATGTATACTTTAGCCAACAAAATAAATGAGAATAAAATGAAAAATCAACAAACAAAATTTGAGATAATATCTATGGGATTGTTTGGTTTCTTGTTTTGAAAACAATTTTTTGTTTTTAAAAACAGAAAAACAAAAAAAAACCTTGTTTAGCAATTTGTTTTTAGTTGATTGTTTTAAAAAACAAAAAAAAACAATAATATGTTTTTAAGAACTAAAAAACCAAAACAACTTTTACATTTTTTTTTTGTGTTTTTTATTTTTTTGTTTTGAAAAATTGGAGAAATCTTTTTCTCTTCTCCTCTACTACCTATTACTTATCACTACCGATAATAATTACCACTTGTTAAAGTGTAATTTTTTTATATTTTTTTAAAATTATTTTCCAAACAAAATTTTTTATTTTTTTCCAAAAACTTGTTCTTAAAAACAATTTTATAAAATTGTTTTGAGAATAAGAAAAAAAAAACAAACAAGCCCTAAATGTCCCTTGTTAAAAAAAAAAAACATGCTATACCCTATAATTGTCTCTTATAAAAAAGCAACAAAATTTGAGGATCCAGGCTTGTTTGAGACACATGGGAATATTCATTTTGTGTTGTAAACTCTGTTTTCGAATGAAAGTAAAAGAAACACTTCTCTCTTCAACTTACCCGAGAATATGAGCAGAAAATGACCCATGAGTTTCAGAACATAACTGTTCCACTTTTATTTGTTTTCAAAATGATTCTATGCGACAGCAAATACACGTCAGCTTGTCAAATCAGAATTCGTGCAAAGTGCCAAATTTAGCTTTCCAAACCTATCTTAAGAGAAGCAATGAATACAAAATATGGTACTACCTCTATCTTATTTATAAAATTATAAATACTATTTTATAATTAGTATCAGAGATAATAACTAAAAACATACTTATATATTATAAATAAGATTTTATAATTAAGAGCAGACGTAATAACTACAAACGTACTTGTGTATATAGATCTAAGCAAATCTTCTTCCCACCTAAATTTGTCGTAGAAGAAGCTTGATATTTTTGGGGCGAATCGCAGAAGTTTAACTGGATTTGCGAAAATCCCAACCTAAACTATAATTAAAAAAAAAAATCCAGTTTCTGAAGAGATTCTGTTTAATCTTTATGCTGGTATCATTGCTGAAAAAAGTTAATTAGCTATGGACGAATTTGATTTGAATACTTGAATTTAACACATACAGAAATTAAGAAAAATCTTACGAGATCAATATCACTGACTTCAAGTTTGTCTATCTGCATCCATTACGGACAACAAAGATGAATCATATGATTTAATGCACTCTTTTAATTAATTATTTGTAACGAATCCGACATGTTAAGTTTAGACATCAGGAATTTACCCTTGTTCTTGTTCCATTTTCTTTTATGCCTTTCAGCTTCCTGTTCCCACATATGTGCATTTAATTGATCTTAACGGAACCATAAACCATTGTCCATTCTTCATCCATTTTATGGTCTTCCTTTGCAAAGAAAATTTCCAGGCTCTTTACAGTAAAACAGTTTAACCATATTTTGAGATCTCTTTAAGCTGTTCTTATCTTTTTGGTCAATCCTAAGAGTCCACCTTCTTTTGTCACAACCACAATTAAGAAATGCTTTCTTAGATTAATCACCTTTAGTTCAGTAGCTTCGCATTTCGCAGGTATACTAAAGATGCAGATATGTCGCAGAATGGCAAAACAATTAAAAATATGACGGTCATAGCTGATATATTTGATTGATTGTATAATATTTCATAGGTACACCATATATATATATATATATATACACACACAACATTTGTAATGAGAACTGGAAATTAGACTCAAGGATAGTAGGATATCGTGAGTATGACCTTTAAGAAACTGCACGTGTGTATGTGTCAAAGTCATCACAGGTTTTTCATCTTACTATAAATGATAAGTATTCAAATGGCGCATAGATATACAGCACCATTGATTAAGAGTAGAAATTGAAATTTAAAGCAAACAGTAACATCTTGTTTGACGATTAAGCGGTAGGGTAAGAAGCTTCCATTGCTATGCCACAAAGGCCTTCCTTAGCATCTACATTTCTTTTCATCCTAATGTATCCTTCTTCACCCCATTCTGTTCCCCATGAGTTCTTTACCAACCAATATTCAGTGTCATCGCTAACACCATAACCAATGGCAGTAACACCATGATCTAACTCAGTGCCACAAGAACCTGTGAAAATGCCACTCGAGTAAAACTGAAAATCAGATCCACTTGCATCTATGGCCACTGAAACTGGCTGGTTAGCCACTGCTTTTTGTAGTGCTTGCTCATTATTGGCAGGAACGTCCTCATACCCCTTAATTGTTGCTACATGATTGGCTTCTCCTTTGGCATTGCAGGCTCCATCAACGCCCTTGTAAGGGTAGTTCACCTCTGAGTTTAGACCATGGTTTTGCATGATAAATTTGAAGGCATCATCCATTAGACCTCCTTCACAACCTTGGTCCACACCTTTTGTGTCACAATCTACTAGCTCTTGCTCTGACAAGGAGATCAATTTGCCCGTGCTCAACTTGGTGATTCCTTCCGTTGCTGCCACAGCAGAAAACGCCCAACAACATCCTACAATGTGCAATGAAAGAATAAAGTTAGATGGAACTTTGATCTTGATTTGTTTTTTCCTTGAAGGAATTATCAATAATACTTACCACAATCCCCTTGATTCTTGATAGGCGTCACAGCACCTTGCTTTCTCCAATCCACAGAGGAAGGCACATCACTCACATTTTCATATCTGAAAGATGGGGTCTTTTTAATTGAGGAACGCATATGACCTTTGAATCTATTTCTAGATGCTGTGAATTCTTCATTGGTAAGATCTGCAAATTGATTGATGCCTAGCTTGTGAGGTCTGGTTCCTGCACTGTTGATGCCTTCAATGTACTCCACATTTTGCTTGAATATATTAAAACGCTTCTCCTTCTCCTGAGGATCACTATATACTTTGCCATAGCGAGCCATCCATTGTTCATGCCTCTTCTGCATTGAGGCTTCTTGGAGAGTGCGAGATGTGGCTTGTGATACCATCATTCCCAGCAAAAGAAAAGCCAATGAGAGGTGCTGAGATTGAATTCCGAACGCCATGTTACTGTAACAATGGAAGCAATGGCTTCAAATGGATCGTCTGTTCTTGATGCTGTGATGACCTCTTGTGTTCTTGAGGTATTTATGGAGAAATTTATGTTGACCTGTAAACCGATCATCTTCTGAAATTTAATCACTAAAGAATTTTATTTTTTTTTTAAAAAAAATTAAATCCTTTCTCTTGGAAGTACCTGAAAGAATGTTATGAATGAGACAGCTGCGTAACGTGTTAAAAACTTAAAATGGTGGTTTTCAGAAATCTCTTTTGATATAGAGTATGATCCCATTAAAAAATGATTTTAAAAATTCCCAGCATAACAAAACCAAAAGGGAACTCGTGGCTTCAGACTTACGATTATAGCTAAGGGCCAAGATTAACTTCAAGTCTTTCTTCAAAGACCGATAGTAATGAATACAAAACATAGTATTCAGAGACGTATACGTTACGTATGGGAAGACTAAATTATGTGTACTATATATCTATATCGTTAGCTATTTCGTTTGTCCTTGTGCTCTTCGGATGGTTCCGGAAGTTGTCTTCTAACTTTGTTCTTATAAAAGTAAAGAACTTAAATCAGGTTACCTAAATACGAGGATCATATTTTGTGATGCGGGTTGTGCATAACAATGGAGAAGATCTTATAATAATGCCCCTTCTTGTTGTGACTTTCAAACTGCTTAATCATCATATGGCCTTGGTAACCTAATAAGAGATTCTAACCATCTGCATTGTTCGCTAGAATTAAATACTCCTCCGGTCCTTAATATAAGACCCATTTAACTAATTTGATTAGATTAAGGAAGTTAGGTAAGTTAGTTAATTAT